GGGCGACGGTCGCGAGGTGGCAGGTAGAGGGCGTGCCTTGTTGCTTGGCGGCTGGCGCATGCATCTGGAGAAGGGCCGCGAGCGTTCTGTCGTCTTGCTGGTGTACGTGCGTGGACCGAGTCGTGCTTGCGTGCTTCGGCGTCCGGGTGGTGGGCCACTGGTGCGATGTCGTGGCGTCGGCGGACTGCCCAGGTGCTAGACAGAAACTATGCCGATCTGCGGATCTGCGGCCGCGCGCGCGCACGCAGGCGTGTAGAGGCGGAAAAACATGCTCAGTAGTAGATCTTGGTTGTAGTCATCTGCGCACGGCGCGTCCGAGTCTAATTAATCAGGCATCACTGCATGCGTTCCTGTCAGCCCTCTTGGTCAGCCCTCTTGGACTGCTCGGCTAAGCAAAACATAGAGCCTGGTGGCTGTGCACCAGAGTCAGTTGTGTCGCTGGGTTTTGGTTGGCTGCGAAGGACAAAGTTTCTTTGTAGTGTCAGAGTGGGGCGGCTCCGACCGTGAGCACGTGACGTCGAGATTCAACAGCAGAGGGATCAGAATTTATTCGAGCCCGATTTCAGTGTCTTTTGAGGGATGCCCCACTCTGCATTCAGTCACGACCCACTCTAGTGAACGTAGACCATAGGGCGTGGGGCATTTCGCAAGTGGGGGTACGCTAACAAGTGGGGCGTGCTGAGAGTGGGGCATGGGAGACTCTCTATCCTGAATCGCCCTCATGAGGAGCATCTCGTAAACCTGGATGGGTGGCTGGATGACCGCGGATGACGCGGATTCCAGCACCTCCCCCCCATCCCGTTGCCCATGAGCGCTCACATAGTGTTACAAAGAAGCAGTGTCCGCTAGAAGTACAGTTGGTATTTACAGGGGTGAGAGAGTACTACTATAAGGCAATGGGGCAGTCCCCTTGAAGTACGCCATGTTTTGAGTGGTGGGGATGCAGGAGACAGCCGTGACGAGCATGTCACATGATCGGAGAGGAGACAACGGGTGGTGATAAACATTGAAGTAGAGGCCAACCTAGTGCAGGGGCATTACGACGTCTGGAGAACTTCAAGGCGTCCGGTTGGAGACACTGCCGCGCGACGAACGCCTCCCACTGTGATGCGACCCACGACGTTGTTCGGCGCCACTGCCCGCGGCAAGTGTCGCTTCAGAGAAGACGGGGAAGTAGTCGTACTCGCTCGTACGCGTCCCGCTGGTGACGCCGCTCGCCGAGCTCATCGCCCTGTTGTGCGACGGGTAAGCGCCCATCATCGTCATTGAGCCTGGTGTTGACACGCTTGGCGTCAGACTGTACCGAGCCGTTGGTGGTGAGGAGGGAGGGGGTCCGACATCGACCAGGCGCCCAGTTGTCGCTGGTGGAGAGAGAAGAAGACCGCTGCTTCGAGTGCGCTCTCTCCGGAGATCGAGTGGCTCAGAGACAGTGCGTGGGACGCCAGGCATAAAGTCCCCGGAGGCGAGGATCGGAGGCGAGCTAGAGCCGGCCGTGAGCAAGCCTTGGTGGATGCTGGACCCGCGCGTGTGCCTCGAGATTGTTTCGCCCAGCTGCCGGATGTCGTCCTCCTCGGTGGTCTGCTGCATGCCATTCACCGACGTCCCCGCCGTCGTTGAGTTGTAGCTGTCGATGTCAAAGTCCGAGTAGCCCTCGACCATACTCTTCTGCCGCATCGTTTCGACGTGCTTGCGGGTGCGAAGTGTTGGGCTACTGCTGCCCGGCTCCATCTGAGCCATCTTGTACTCGACAACACCACTCTTGCCGTGACGCCGACGGTTCCAGAACCACCAAGCAAAGTACGCGCCAGCCGCAATGGCTAGGAAGCCGATCACGGAGCAAACTGCGATAATGGTAGAGGTCGCGACTCGCTTCTGCCCAGCGTTTGCCGCGGCGCTCTGCTGAGCATTGCCGGGCCCTCCAGCAGTGCCCGACGAAACGCCGCTGAGGGGCTGACGCTCCCGACGCACTTGCCAGAAGTCGCGGGCGGCGAGAGCGGGGTCGGTGAGCGGAATCATGCCGACAGTTGGCTGCCAAGTCGTTGGACTCAATCGCTGATCGGGATACTGATAGATCGAGTAAACATTCTTCAAGAATGAGGATCCGAGGACACTGGTGTCAGCCACCTATGGTCAATGGTAAACTCACAAGTCACCACGGTTGTTCAGGTCGGCATACTGCAGAACGCCAAGGCATCGCGAGAAGCTGGCGTCCTCCGTGTCGATGTAGCTCATATCCAACGGATGCACAGGGTAGTCAATGCCACCGAAAGTGAAGGTCAAGGTGAGAGGAACATTGCACGGCAAACGGTCTGCGAAGTCTCAGCCGTGTTCACATCATGGTACTCACACTTCCCATCTGCGTCAGGCTCAACGCCGAACGGCCCGTAGATCGCCGCCAGCATATTGCGATCGTTGACAAGGATGCCTACGCCACCTGAATCCAGCACGGCAACTGGCGACGTGCTGTTGGCGTCCGTCCGAGTCGACCCCAATGGGATTGACCTAGTCGTTGGCCCGACACCATTCTTCGGGTCGTTGAAGAAGGTGGCGTAGACACCGTCAAGTGGCACCCGCCAGTGCAGATAGCCTGTCCGACCAAACCGGGGGTGGGGAAGGATAGGCAGCCACTTGGGCGCGCAGGGGGATGGACAGACGCGCGAGTCGACTTCGCCGATCCCGAAGCTTGACACCGTTCGAACGTCCTCGCTCCGCTCGAGTGAGAGCGAGAAGTACCTATTTGTAGGCGCCGAGGCACCAGCACCAAAGAGATTGTCCAGGAAGGTCGCGCCGTCAGGTGACGAGCCGGTAGTGCCCGGTATGGTTTCAGTGATGAGTGAGTTGGCGGGCACTGGGGTCAGTGAGATTCTAGAGCCCACAGCTTTTCATGCTCGTCGGGAATTCCTGGCGAACACGAAGCGCACTCCCTCAGAAGGATCGCCGCTTCGCAGTACGCTGGGGCACGATCTGTGGGCACGCTATGTCTTATCTCGGCAACAGCCCCGACGGCGCTGTATTCCTCAGCAAGAGACCAGGCCGCGCAGTCATAGACTCCGCTTGCTCGCAGGAAAAAACTATTGTCTTTTGTACGCTCCCACCGTCGTCCCTCTGCCCATCTGCCCCGCACAGTCGTGTTTTCTACTCACGGGCGAGACCCAAAAGGCCTGTAAAGTTGCCGTCGCCGAGATTCTCGTTTCGCACATCTTCGGCCGAGACCATGGCCTGATACCCTATTCCGAATTGGCCGACAGTCACTTGTTCCCACATGATGTTGCCTCTAATGCTGCCGGAATGGTAGTCGATACCGAGTGGGGTGTCACTGTCAAGCGAGTGCGTGTCATTGAAAAGGGCAGGTGCATCCATGCAGTCTTTGGACGTGCAGTTCATCGATGCGATCCACTGGGCGTTAGTCCTGTGATACACGCTTAGTTTCGCCACACTTTGAGACTCTTTCAGTGGATGCCACGCAATGTGGGTTGTCTTCAGACGCATTAAACAGAGCCGCCATGTCCAGAGTCTTCCCGCGCACTGCCAAGACACGGCGCTGGTCGCCTCAAGCAATGGCTCGACGCCCGGCACGCCCGTCCGCCCAACCACCCACCGTCATCGACACCCTCACAACATCATCGCTTACTCACCATGTCTGATGATCCCAAGTCCACGAGCATGTTGACCGTTTGGGCAGATGTGGGCGTGGTAGGCGCTCGCTTCCGAGCATCGACACCGTCTGCCAAGTCGTGACCAAAGGTCATAGGGAGCGAGTAGACGGCAGTGTCATCGTTGCCGCCTGCCAGCGTCAAGTTGAATACGACGCCGGGAACAAAAGACACTTGTGCGGCGTAGGTACCAGAAGTTGTCGTAGTTTTGGATGCCGAGGGGGTAAGAGTAAAGGACCATGGCCGACCCTTGCCGGAAGACGTGGGCATAGCAGAGCTGGGCCCTGTGCCGTTCCAAGCCCCAGAGGATACGCCCGATGGCCCGGCGCTTCCACTGTTCGAGCTACTTGGAGAAGGGGAGGATAGTGGCGGACCACCGGGGCCGCTGCCTGAGAGCGTCAAGGAAGGCGAGGGTGATGAGAGCGCCGAGCCAGGTGCCCAGGGCGGGGCAAAGCCCGGGCTGACAGGAGTCGGGCTAGCGGAAGGCTCAGAGGGCGCTGGTGGTGGCTGTTCTTGCCTGGGACGAAGGCGATGCAATGGCGGTGATGGTGGTGGTGGTGGGTTGAGGGATGGGGGAGATGGCGGATCGAGATGAGACTGTGCAAGGGAGGAAGGCGACGAGAGTGAAGAGGAAGATGGAGCGGGGAAGTGGGCGGCCTCTGCCTGTTGGGGTTGCCATGGTATTTGGATCATGACTGTGATGGGATTGGGACGGTCGTGATGGAGATTCGAAGCAGCCGACTGGGAAGCTGCTGAGAGCTGTGACGGTGAGTTGCTCGGTTCGGCAGCGGACCGGGGTTGGTGCGAATGTCGCAGCAGCATGCCTTGGCGGCGGCGCGATGCTTTTGGGCAGGCTCAGGGGAGTGAACGGACGCGGGGTGTGGGATCTTGCATGCACAGCCTTTGTGAGTGAGGTAACTGCTGTCGGCGGCGGGCAGCAGCAGTAAAAGGGCGGTGGCACCGGCACCAGAGTCCGAGCACCAGGCGCGCGGGCAAAAAGACGACGCGAGAATACCGCGGAAGTGGGTGGCCTGATCTGTTTGTTAATCGATGGAGGTTGGTGGAGGAAATGGAACATACGTGAGACAGGAGTGTGAAGAGAACGTTTAGATGTCGCGTACAGCAAAGCCGAGAGGGAGGGAGTGTGTGTGCGTGTTGCGTCAAAGCGTGGTGTGAAAGAGTTGGCGTGAGGAGATGGCCAGACAACTGCGTCGATGATCGTTGAGGGGGGGGCGCGCGCGCGCGTGTGCGCGCAGATGAAGAGAGGCGGGGGGGAGGGGGGGGGCGCGTGCGAAGTGCGCGTGCGCGTGTGGGAGGGTGATGATGGAGAGTGTGAGTTGATCAGATGACGATAGCTGGATGATGGTGTGGTGTGTGGAGGCGGAGTGGATGGAGTGGGTTGTGCGGGGAAGGGCAAGTGGAGGGAGGGGGGTGGCGCGGGGGGCTCTGCCTTGGTGTTGGGGTCGAGTGAGAGAAGAAAAGGAGGAGGAGGAGGAGGAGGAGGAGAGGAGATGATGAGATGTTGATGAGAGATGGAGAGAGAGTGAGAGAGAGTGAAAGAGCAGTGAGAGCGAGAGAGTGAACGACGTTGAGCGACGAGGAAAGGGTCAGAGCGCGGTAGGGTCGCTCCCAGGGACTAGGCGCATGAGACTGAGCGGGCTGCACACAGCTTGCTTCTTCCTTCCGTTCCGGAACCCGTGCGACTTGGTCTCGAGGCAGGAGTACAGTATAAGGATGTGCATTGTAATAATCCATGTGATTAGTAATCCTGCTGTAATGGCGAATACAACATGTCTTCCTACTTGAGACAATGGGAGGAGGAGGTGGGAAGAGGGAGCTTGGGAGGTATGAGGAACCAGGGCTGCGCACCAGGGGCCGGCGGAAGCAAGGGAGGGTCGGACGCCGAGTATCGCCCACACGAGCCAGGGGTCAGGGGCTGTCCGTTGCCGAAGATGGTGTTCTGCTCAACAAGCTTACTCGCCCCCCTTGTCGTGCCTCTCCGAAAGCAGCCCTTTCCTAATGCATAATGCGAATTGCTACATATGCACGCACTACCAACTATCAATACATATTGATACATGATAAATAGACATCCATCATGAGGATGTTACTCGAGTTGACGCCTTGCCTTGCATCAAAGCACGCATCTATGCACTGGCCCTCGTCAGCTCGGAGTATGTTCTCTCGCCCAAGGGTTTTGCTCAATTGCTCTATTTTGGTGAACAATCCTCAGCGCCCCTCGTCGCACGAGCCGCCACGCGCTATCCTGGTATCCGAGGCAGCCGAGGTCGACCAAGCAGCTTTTACAGTAGTCGCCTTGGCCTAAGACTCGACGAGTTACTGTATGCATTACGAATCTACTGGTGTACTGGAACACAATGTCTGTGAGGAGGGCACAGAGAATGCACAGCGGGTACACCGGCTTCCCTTCATGCCTTCATGCCTCCAAGCCTCTATGTAGGAGTCAAGGGATGGCGAGGGAACAGGGGTAGTCGGGAAGGCAAACTGCATAAAGCTGTGCCCTCACGCAAGCCCCGTTGGATTAGTAGGATCGTGGTGGTCGTTGGGCCGTTGGCCGTTGGGACATGGCCGCCTTCCGCGGGACGAACGGAACACCGAACACCGCCTTGGATTGTGTTTGGAAGAGTTAGTGCACAGCCGCCATTAATGAATTGTACTCTACGGTAGCAAAGAGTTGTGTTGGCTGGCATGTGGCATGTGGCTTGAGGATGCCTTTCCAAGCTTCTACCCCTCCCGCCTCATGCCTCATGCCTCAGGCCTCAGGCGTCAAGAGGTGGAGGGCTTCAGGGTGGTGTGTTGTGGAGAACTGGATGCTTAAGCGCAACATGCAAACAGGACCTGACAATCTGTCCCTCCAGTCATGGTTTGATCACCGGGGGCGCAGGGGGTGCCGAAAGGTGGGTCGACGGATCGACGGATGTGGCAGCCCGCTCGCGTTTCAAAGATCAGCGATCAGCGAGTAGTGATCAGCGAGTAGTGATCAGCAGCGATCAATTATTAACAATCAGCGATCGGCTAGACTTGAGGAATTGAGGAGTTTCCACTAAGACTACAGGCCGAAGCAAAGACGACACTGGCGCGCTTCTGTTTGACTAGCAACATTATGCTTACAAGGTTGACTGCTTGAACGCATCAGTGCCCCCCCCCCCCCCTTGCGTCGCTCCGAATACACACCGACGCCGAACAGTCCAGGCCTTGTGGCATGTGACACCGTGGGAAAACGCCGGTCTTGGCCGATGATCCGATGACGCCTGACGCTGCACTCTGGACGCCGGAGCCTGACGCCTGATGCAGATCCGAGAGGTATGTACGCAGGCACGCGGGACAGCTCAAACAATTCAGGCACGCTTGGCGCCGAGCATCCGAGGAGACCGAGTACAGCGGGGGATCGGAGTGTGGGGTTGCGGGGTAGCCTTGGGGGTGGAGGCATGTGGGGCCCGAGGAGAGGCACATTTTGACTTGCATCGGATTGGTCGAGTGGATAAAACACATTTTGCCAGCTCCGTCACACGAGCCCACCTTGCCTCTGCTCGCTCTTTGACAGCTCCACTCGACTCGACTCGTCTCGTCTCTCTCTCTCTCCACACATCCTCTCGATACTCTTCTCCTCTCCGTTCACTTGACATCGCGACGACCTCCTCACTACTCTCCACTCTCCCCTCCCCGCATCGCATCGCATCCGCATCACCCGCATTCCTTCAGCGCGCCCCCCTCAACACCGATCCACAAACCACAAACCACACACCACCACAAAACAAAATGCACCCCCTCCGCGCTGCCGCTTTCTGTGCCCGCGCGAGCAACTTCCCTCGCCCTTCCTGCTCTGCCATCTACCACCGCCGCACCCTCTGCATGCCCCCCTTCCGCGGCACCCTCGAGGCCTCCGACGACCCCCTCCCCACCGACCAGGAAGCCTTCGACGTAAAGTCCACCCCAGACGTCTCCGCTGCCGATGGCATCACCCCCGAGGCCGCCCTCGCCGAGCTCCGCCGCCTCCGCAACAACACCGACCTCACCCCCGCCGACCTCGGTATCCACACCCCTACCCCCATCGCACCCTTCACCGACGTCGACCCCGTCACTGGCTTGGTCGTAGGTCCGGTCAAGCGGGGCTTTTTCTCCAAGAAGGCGGCTTAGAACACACACCCACACACAATGCCTGATGACTCGACGCCATGCCCATCGCCCAAACGCCTAGACACTCCAACGCCTACAAAATATTCAGACAAGACCCAAAGTCAAACTAAAAGTAACGACAGCATTGTCCTTGTGAGTTTTTGCCACCACATTCGCCGCCGCTGACTTTCAGTGACGCCCTGCATTTCATCGCACAGCAGTTTCTAATCACCTCGTTGTACATTCGCCCCCGCCTGCCATGATTGCCATGTATCCAACATTCTCATCACAGCCTGACCCACGCCGTTCGCTCTCGATGATGCTGCACACTCACAACACCCGCACGAAACTGCCAGGCCTACTCGCTGCATTCTGTGCCGCCTGATCAGCTAACTTCAGCCCATCTCTGACGCTCGCCAGTCCACGCCCATGGGTCCCTCCGGACCCATCCAACGATTCATTCATTCATTCTTTGATTCTATTCTTTGATTCTTAATGTGGGGCAACTGCAAACGGGTTTGATTGCCGGCAAGGAAGGCCACCTTGGACTGCCTCCATCTTATTTCGGAATGCACACGGCCCAGTTCTCGTCATACTCGTCCTGGGACTGGAACGCGAGCAGGTCGACAATCTCCTCGACGCCGTGGGGGAGGCGGCCCGCGCCGCCGCGCAGCTCGACCATGTCCGCCGCATGCCGGAACAGGACGCGGCAGTATGCCTCGACCGCGCGCCGGCCCTTGCGAGCGCGCACGGCGCGCGCCGACCGCGCCGCATGCCACTTCTCGCACCCCACGAACAGGAGCTTGACCTTGGGGCCGCGCTCGAGGCGGCGGCCGATTTGCTTGATCATCGTCTCGAGAAAGTCGGCGTCGTCGTCCTCGCCCGCGTCCGCGTCGGCGGCGCGCGTGCGCGTGCCGGTCCGCGACCCCACCGTCTCGTACACGAAGTGGTACTCCTTGCCCGCCTCGAACTCGGGGACAGTGAACGTCGGCACCCCGCCGGGCGGCGCGCGGATGTACACGATCACAGCACGCGACTGCGCGCGCGCAGCGGCGGGGGCGGGGGCGGGGGCGGGGCCGCCCGCACGCTTGCGCACCCGGCGCTGCGGGGCAGGCGCGGGGGCGGGCGCGGGAGCCGTCTCACGAGCCTCCCGCCGGTTCGCGGACTGGCGCCGCTTGTTGGGGCGCACGGGAGGGCCGACGTCCTTCGGGCGGTCGGCCGCGCGGCGGCGCGTCGTGTCGCCGGACCGCGCGTGCGGCGGGGGGCTGGCCGCGCGCTTGCGCTTGCCCTGCCCACCGCCGTGCCCGCGGCCGCGGCCCCGGGCGCCGCGGGCGGCGTAGTCGTCCTCGTAATCCGAGTCGGCGTTGGCATCGGACTCGCACTCGGACTCGGTCTCGATGGCCTCGGACTCCGAGTCCGAGTCGAACTCGTCCCGACCGTTGTCCCCGTACGTCTCCCGGTGATTTCTCGCATTCGGCTCCCGAATGCGGACCGCCTCGCCGAGGGCACCGTCCCAGCGGTCGTTGGGCGTCTCGTCGGACACGTCCGCGTCGTCGTCGGACACGTCCGCGTCGGACTCGTCGGACTCGTCAGTCTCGTCTGCGTGCAGATGGCCATACGGTCCGTACTTGAGCGACCAGCACTTGGCCCAGTGGTCTGGGTTGTGGATGTCGAGGTTGTGGTAGCGCTGCACCGGGACGCGGGAGCGCGGGACACGCCGGCGCGAGCGGTACGGCGGCGAGCGCTTGCGCGCATGCTTCGGGCGCCGGTACAGCGGCGACGCTTTGTCGAAGCGCGGGAAGGCGGAGACGAGGGGCCCGATCCACAGGCTCCGCGGCGTGCGGTTTGGCAGCGACACGTCGTACTTGAGCAGGTCTTCGTTCTCGCGCACAAACTTCTTCCAGTTGAACCCGAACGACTCGAGCTGCGTGGCGACACACCCGCCCTCCCACCCGTCCGTGACAATGTAGAAGCGGTAACACTCGACAGCGCGGCTGTCGACGACAAAGTAGGCGCAGCCTTGGATGTTGCCGTCCCAGTCGCGGAGGACTGGTGTCAGCAGTGGACGGGGTATGGGTGGGCGGGGATACACTGGGGTGTGAGGAGGCTTACAGTCGTTCATTGGAGATGTGTGGAGTGTTGCGTAGGGCGTTAAGTGTTGAGTGTTGCGTTGGGTGTTGGCGTTGGGCGTGGGCGTCGGCGTCGGGCGTCGGCGCTGGGCGTTGGCGTTGGCGTTGGCGTTGGGCGTTGAGTGTTGAGAGTTGGACGTTGGTCGTTGGCGCGGCGTGGGGGTCGTGGGATGGGTGGAGAGCCGAGGAGAGTGTGAGACGAGAGGAGTGTAAAAAGAAAAGGCCACCTTTATAAGACGTCCCCGGGATAAATCAGCAGTCCAACGCGTCGGCCGGGGTGGAAATATGGCGGATCGAGGGATCGAGGGTGAGCTGCAGGGATGTGACATTACGAGCAATTCAACAAATGACACGCTCGACATTCCTTCATTTCGCTAGAGCCGCCACATACACTTTCTCGCCCCCGCTTGGGCCACTGCGGCCATTCTCCTCCGCTCGCACTCCGCACGCATGCGCCCCAAGACTTTTTGGAAGCTCCACCGACCAGCTGGTTTCGTTAGCGAGTCGCGAGTCGCAGGGCCCCAATGACAGATACCCGAATAAAGGCGACTCTGAAGTACCAAGTTTGCCCTATAGCCCGTTGAGATCTGGTTGTGGTTTCTGAAATTCCTGCGTGATCACTGATCAGTGATCTTCTGATCTTCTGATCCACTGATCCGATGATCTAGGAATTTTTCGTCATTTCGACGCCTTTGTGGGCACCAGCAGCGGGTCACTCCGGAGTGCCCCAGTCACGGGGGTTCCCCGCCCTCAGCCCCATGTTCCCCATGTTCCCCATGTTCCCCGCTACTTTTCTCATGTTCACGGTCCACCGTACCAGACTGCTACCTCATACCGTCACAACTTGGACCCCGCCGTTCCCCAGCCCCGCTCATGAAATCCATGGAATGAATGTCTTCGAGCTTCCTCGTGCACGACCACTGCGCCCCAGCAACCAGCCCTCTCATGACTACCACGGCTTCCGCGCACGCCGTTCGAACAGCCCGTGCAGTTTAGAACCATGCCGCTGTTTTCCACCGTAATGTTGGGTCCGCATATCAGCGAACCGCCGTGCGAACCACTGAGTGCTCCGTAACCGCCGTTCCGTCCACCGCACACAACGTTCCTACTCTTCAAACCCCCAGCAAAACCAAGCACTTCCTTCTTTACCACCCATGCATGTCCTATCCGCCCAAGAGTCCCACTACAACCTATTCCGCATTTTTCCAACCGTTTACAATACACGGCGCGCTCCCAACGTCACTTGAAGTTATCCAAAATCACGTCTCCTCACTAGTATATCGGTTAGTATATTCGCCTCTCAGTCGAGAGCCGCTGTTGCGGAAGCACAGCGATACCGCGAAAGAGCAGGGTTCAACTCCCTGGTGGGGAGCAGGCATTGCTTTTGGGAGGGTAGACTGGGTTTTGCTGAGGGGAGGGGCGCGTGCGACAGTCCTGCGAGGCGTTATGTGTGCGGTGGTCGAATAGCAGAGACCTTATAGCCTCCGTCTTGCTTGTTTGTTTTTTTTCGATTACCTCGTACTCGGTTGAGGACAGTGGTGCAAGCTTATGAGCTAAGTGCACGTAGATGCATAGTAGTATGGATGATGAGACATTCTCGCGGGCATTTTCCATCTAGCGGCCGGCTTGCTCGAGCGCAAATACTCACCAGTGATGCTGCCACGGCGCCAAAAAACACCACAGCAGGCATGACATTCACCTACAGCTCCTCCACTCCTGCTCAACGTTCGCCATGCACTTTACATCTGCCACCCTATCACCCCCTCCGTGTCCCCTCCTGTCATAACAGACTGCCATGCATGTCATTCATATGCATGCCACTGCTAAACATAGGTCCGCTACTTCGTAGACATGTCACATCAAGTGTTTCGTCTGCACATCTAACCTTCGATAGCATGACTCAGATTCCCCACCAGACTTGACCCCGATACTTTGGACCTCTCCTTGACATGACAACGACCCACTTAAACTGGTTGGATATCATCGTCGTCGTCTTTGGAAAGGGTGTTGCATGGATGGCAGGGTCGGGGGTGTCAAGCTGGCGTATGATATCAGCGTCGAGGATATGGAGGCGGAGGAGGCATGGTGTACGAGCCGCTACAGTCAGCTTCATGTGCACTGCATTCTTGGGCTAGTCGAGAAGGTGAGTGTGGCGGGTGTGGAAATGTGAACTGTGCCGTCAACCTCGCCCATTGCCACCTCAGCCTCCTTCAGGTTGATTCAGAGAGTTCAAATGGCGATCAGTTGTCCATTTTAATGAAGCCTGTTGATGTGGTGATTGTGGAGAATGTGTAGTCAGAGGTGGGCACGCAGCGGATGATGGCAATACCACAGCCTAGTCAGCCAGGCCAGTTGTAATTCGGAAGAAGTCGCGTCGTGGAAAGGTCTCATCGATGCGGATGCGTTGGCCTGCGCGTGGGCAAAATCTCCCTCCTCGGCGGTCCGCACTGACTCGGCCTGCGCGAACTAGACCTACGGGGACTCGGTGTGGGTGTGTGCGGACTTAGCAGCCGCTGCCTTGACGGGCGGGTTCGCTGTCACGCCCACAAAAAGGCTCAAGTTGAAGGTTCGAGGCCGGCGGGGCAATTTGAGTCATGCTTGTTTCTGCTAGATTTATTGTCCTCGAGGCAGTCGGTGGACAGTCCGAACCTCGGTGATTGAGCATGAGAGCAGTATGAAGTAACGCTAGCGTAGTCTCAGCCGCAGTAACTGGGCCCCCGCGCCGCTGATTAGGTGAGCTGCGCTCGTCCACCATGCCAATGAAGCACCTGACGCCGTAGCTGCGACCTGGAAACACGGTGGCAGTTGTCTGCATCGAGTTCCAGTGCAGTGTGACAACCGAAAGAGAACACGCTGACGATCGTGAGACAATACCTAAGAAGCTCAAGAAGCTTAAGACCTTCGAAAGCATAGCAGATAACATGTCCTGCGGATGCGGCACAGATGCCACTCGCAAGCCTAGCTTGCCCTCAGTGGTGATCGTTAGCAAGCCAAAATTCCCTACTCATTGGTAGCGCCATGGGCGCCGCGCGGAAGGTGCTATGTAGCTGTAGACGGCCTACAGAACAAGAGCGGGCCGACATGGTGCTCGAACTAGCAGTAAAACCCTGATAAATGCCCGCTAGATCGACTACAGAAGCTGCGTCTACTCCTCCTCGTCCATGCCCTCCTCCTCGTCCGACTCCTCGTCCGACGCCTCGTCCGACTCTTCGTCCTCGTTCGCCTCGAGATCAAAGACGGACAACTCCTCCCCGCTAGCCGTAAGGATCCATGCGCTTCGGCGTCCTTCGGCCGGGTTGAGGGCTAAGCTCCAGATCGGATCCCGCCGCACCGTGCCCAGCGCCCGAGCGCGTGAAATCGGAAGGTGGTGGTCTGGGCCTCCTGCAGAACTGGACAGCTCTTCGCTCCCCACAGGCACCATAGCGGCGCGCATATCCTCCACCGACGCGAGCGCAAGCCATCGGCGGGGGCCACGCGCGAACACCAGAGCGATCTCCTCATCGCCGTAGAAGGCAGCCTGTACTACCTCCCCGCTAAAGCGCGCATGACCGAGGCTGTTGGTGCGCGCAAAGACATGCAGTGTCTTGTCGACGAGTGCCAGAGCCCAATCCTCGTCTCCGATCCTACGCTCGTCGATGACGGGTAGAGGGAATTCTACTGCAGGGGCAACATGGGAAGGGTCACGCACGCGAGCTGACGCTCCCACTGCGCAGATACTGGCCAGAAGAGTGTTGGCCCACGCCCAGGGCTCCAAGGTGGGCTCGCGTTTCGTCGTTCCTGCAGGTAATGAGGCGTCGGCCTGGTCATTTTCGCCGACTGTGTCAAATGAATCGTCGGGCTCCACGTCGGACTCGTCGGATTCGATCTCAAGGCCCGTGCTGGTCGAGCGGTCGGGAAGCGAGGCAAGCGAAATGTCGGAGGTCTGCGGGAGCGACGAGTTCTTCGGGGGCTGGCGTAGCCTAGCCAGCGTGGACGACATGACCGCGCAGAGAGGAGGTCTCTTAGGCTGACGTGGGAGGGGTACTTCCGTGAGGACGGCGTCAGATGCACCTATAACGTGAGGAAAATGTTGTTTGAAGTGTGAATTGACGAAGCCGTTGACCATGTACGACCAAACAAGCTTTACGTCGTAACTAGGGGCACCTGCTTCTTCACTCGCGACAGCGCGAGCCATTTCTGCATGTCAGCAGGCTCGGCCAATGCAAATGCAATACGCACCATACCGCAGCCACTTGAACCACTGCACTGCACTTTCCCATTCCAACGCTGCGGCCTGTCGCATCTCTTCGCAGAGCGCAAGAAGGCCACGGACGAGTGACAGGGCGCGCTCAAGCTCCCGGCGATCGAGAATAACATCGAAGTGGAACCGGCATCTGGCGTCAGTGTGTACCACTGTAGTAGAGGCAGACTAACAAGGTAGAGGCTGCCTGGTCCGCGTGGTGGCCTCGTGCCCAGCCGTTCATCTCCTCAAGAACGAGTAGCATACGCTCGAGCGCAGGGATGACGCTCTGCGCGAGCACCTTCATAACAGTGATGAATCCCTCCTGAACGGTCGCCTCCCACTTGGCTACGGGCTAGCATGAGCAGGGACAGCCCCGACACTCACCCTGTTCGTGAGGCGGTTTCCCAGCCATTCAGTGATTGGGGGGCTGGAGCGGCGGCACATGAGAAAACGGAAAAGATCTGCGTGCACAACTCGCACGCTCATGCCCTGCTGCTCGCCACATGCTTCAAGCTCCTCTCTCCACACCATAGTTTGTTTTTCGGCGTCCCTGTAGGCGGCAGCACAGCTCTCCAGGCCGCGGAACACGGGGTCGAGCAGATGCGCAATCTTGTCTGCTCGCACAGCAACCTCAAGGATGGCCGAGGGTACATCTTCCGGCGTCCCTGGCGGAAGAAGATATGTGCCGGTGAGCAAACGAGCAGAGGCGCGCGGCCGTTGCGCAGGGACTGCCACATGGAGCACTGATGGTGGAGGACGTGGGTCAGCAGGAAGGAGGGTGGAAGCTGCCTCGAGTTTCGCGTGCAGCCCCTTATTGGCGGCAGCTGGTGGTGGAGGCGCAAAGGGATTTATGCTGTGGTTAGCGGGTTTGTGGCAGCACTTACATCGCAGGTTTCGGCGGCTCGACAGGCTCGACATCGGGCAGCGAGTCAATGATCATAAGGGGAGCACCAGGCTGCTTTTAGCGCTAATAAGCAGAGTTTCTTCGTACCTTGTGAGGAAGCCAGACCGAATTGCCGCCCTTCCACTCCATAGGCCACCACGCCGTGCGCCTATCCCGCTCGTGTCCTTGTTCCCAGTCGGCCTCAGTGAGGTGCTCTAAGAGCGTGGGAGGCACGTATACAGCCTTTACCACCTCACCGGTGTGAACGGAAAGATGCTCGATCGTGCTCTTGGACGCGTTAACCGGAGCGCGTGGAGGCCAGCTTGGCAGCCTGAGCACAAGCAGCGAGAGAAAGAGCCCTTAGTGTCAGCATGATATCCTCACACAGGAGACCCACCATCGGAGCTCCAAGAAAGGCCGAGCACACGCCCAGTCACACATACTTCCCACACGGTCGCACCGCTTAAGCGCCACAATGACACGAGGCTACGCACGCCTGGGTGATCGTCATCTGGCTCGCGGACGAGGGCTGCGAGATCCATCACGGGATTAGCAGCTCGCGGGTGCAGTATGTGTGGGTACTTGAGATTCGAAGTAGAGGCAACAGTGAAGGAACGCGCGTCATTGTGGAGCATGTCGTGTTGCGACCTGCTTGGGGAGGAGTTGTCGAAGGTGGTCAAGGAGGTGGTCCCGGCGGCCGGAGGCGACGCCGCAGCTCCGATCATGACAAGAGCGGAGGAGGCAGCAGGCGTTTAAGCTTTGAAACAGAGCAGCGTAGTGAAATGGGAAGGAGCGACTGGAAGGCGGGGGGGAGCAAGGCGGCGAGGATGCCTGATGGCGATGGTCGAAGTTGTTGTTGACTTTGGTGATGCGCAAGTGGAGGGCCATGATATTAGCACGGAACTATTTCTATTTAGGTTGTAGGCTAATGGGGACTGTAATGAGAAGTGGAGTGGAGGGTGAGGAATGAAACGCCTCGCTCTTCGCTCTCTATCGCCCAACTCTTCTCCTCCTTCCATCCACCCATACCTCAATCCGCCCCCCCTCACTTCGTCCGATCCACTGCATCTCATAGAATTGTCTCTGACCGGCCTGTAAGGCTGCTATCATCTCCTCCCCGCGTAAGCGCCACGATGGAAGACTACGACATGGAATCCCCACATGCCGGCCAGGACGCACTCCGGCATCCGCGACACAGCAAGAGCCAGCGCGCGAAGAATAGCCACCCCAGCTCGCCTCCTCAGCGCTCTTCAAGTCCTCGCTACGCCTACTCGGATGTCGCTAGCGAGCGCGGTGACATGGATGTGGATGACGAGATCGACGAGCTCCTCTCGGACGATGCGCGGGGGGGCGAAGATCGCGGTGACGATGAGGAAGAAGACGACGGCGGTGAAGCCGGCAAAGCCGATGGGCAGCGCAATTGTTTATGGGAAGGCTGCGGCGAGGTCCTTGAGGACCAGGCTGAACTAGTCAAGCACGTGCAAGATGGTGGGCACATCAGTCTGAGGTTTACCTTCTGACGCCAGCGCATATCGGCACAGGGCGACAGCCGTACGCGTGTCTCTGGACGACGTGTTCTCGAGTCGGACAGCGACAGGCAAGCCGACACGCGCTGCTGACACACATGCGCTCACACACTGGCGAGAAGCCATACGCATGTCCCGAGCCTGGTGAGCCTTGCCCAATGACGCGCGGCTTTACTGACAACAGGCTGTGGGCGTACGTTTACCCGCTCTGATGCGATGAACAAGCACGTCAAGTCGATCCACGCGCCTGGCGCGCGCCCAAGAAGGCGCGAAGAGGTGGTGATCGATGCCGAGGAGCCGACCAATGCGGACCGTGACCTGGCCAAGGATGACGACTTGGCCGAGGTAATCGTGCGTCTGCGCTCCCGCGATCGCGTGCACTTCAAGCCTGCGAATGCGGAGGAGGAGGCTGCAATGCGGTACATGCGCGAAACGCGGCCGGGCGGGGCGCCGGCGCGCAACCGCCGTGGACGCAAGAATGCGGTGTCAGACAGCGATGAGTTCGACGAAGGCGCCGGCAAGAAGTATCCCAACAAGCGCAAGGTCGAAGGGTACCTCATTGACCAGGGCGACAACGAGGTGCCTATGATGAGCCGTTCGCGATGGCAAGCAAAATACGTCATGGCCAAGGCCAAGCTCATGCTTGTTGACGAGGAGAACAAGATGCGCCGCGACGAGCTGGCCTTCTGGGAGGCTGAAGAGGCTCGCACAATGGCCCTGTTGGGTCTCAGCGGCCCTCCGCGTCCCGTCGACGTTCCCAATTCGGCTGAGTCTGAGCCACGCCACTCAGAACCCCGCGCCGAACGCCAGCCCGCTGCCCGCCGCCCGCCACATTCGCGTCGTAGCCGAGGAAACGCGTCGCCTGAGCCCAACAGACGAGCGAGCGGACACCGTGGCCCCAAGCACGAGCCGGTGACCCTGGACGATGAGCTGTACGAGGCGGCTATGGGATAGAGGTGGAAGCATGTAGAGCAGCGACAACTATTGTAGCACACATATGGCAGTGGATTCCGAGTGTCTTGTAGAGGTGCATGTAAACGTGACCTCCTCGGTCATTTGCTAGACTCCGATTTGCCAGTCATCTCCGTGACAGCAGCCGGATTTTGTGGCGCTGCCCGAGATAGCACCCATTCCCTGTGTCGGCGGTCGACTTAGCCGATGCTGCGGTCGAGCGAAACAGGATATCGGGAGCGGTGAGGTCGCTCCGACTGTCACCGAGGCTGACGAGGTGCTGACTGCAGGCAGATGAACAGAGCTCCCTCTTCCAAAAAGATGCTCACGGCACTGTTCTAATACGAATACACAGCATGCATAGTGCGACCGGGAACAACAACTACTCTTCCTTGTGCGATTAGTTGATCTGGGGCATGGAGACGGCGGCCTGGGCGTGCGAGGCGTCCTCGTGGGGCCAGAGGGCAGTGGTGGTCTTGCGCTGGGTGTAGAACTCGAGACCAGTCTTGCCGTAGAAGGGGATGTCGCCCATGAACGAGCCCTTGGAGCCCGACCAGTTGAACATGGGGAGGGGGACGGGGATGGCGACGTTGATGCCGATCTGTCCGGGCTCGGCCTCGATCTCGAACTTGCGGCCAGTGGCACCGTTGGTGGTGAAGATGGCGGCACCGTTGCCGTACTTGTTGCGGTTGATGATGGCAACAGCCTCGTCAAGGGTCTCGGCCGAGATGATGTTGAGCACGGGGCCGAAGATCTCGTTCTTGTACGCGCTCATGTTGGTGTCGACCTCGACGACGGTGGGGCCGACGAAGTTGCCGGCGGGGTAGCCGGGAACCTGGACACCACGGCCGTCAAGGAGGATCTTGCCGCCCTCGGTCTCGACCGAGGCGATGAGCCCCTCAATGCGCTCCTTGGCGGCGGGCGAGATGACGGGGCCGAGGTCGGCACCCTGCTCGAAGCCGCCCGAGACCTTGAGGCCCTTGGCACGCTCGATGAGCTCGGGGATCCAAGCACGCGACTCGCCGACGAAGATGGCGACCGAGAGGGCCATGCAGCGCTGGCCGGCGGCGCCGAACGCAGCACCCGCAATGGCGTTGAGGGTGAGGTTCTTGTTGGCGTCGGGCATGACGACACAGTGGTTCTTGGCACCGAGGTTGGCCTGGACACGCTTGCCCTGGACGATGGCGCGGTCGTAGATGTGCTTGCCGGCAGCGTCACCACCAACGAACGAGATGGCCTTGATGTCGGGGTGGTCGCAGACACGGTTGACGGTGGGGGCAGTGCCGTGGACGACGTTGAGGACACCGGCGGGGAGGCCGGCCTTGGCGGCGAGCTCGGCAATGATCATGGTGGCTCCGGGGTCACGCTCCGAGGGCTTGACAACGAGGGTGTTGCCGGTGACGGTGGCGAGGGCAGCCGACCAGAGGACGATCATGGCGGGGAAGTTGAAGGGGGTGATGGCGGCGGTGACACCGAGGGGGTGGCGGCGCGAGTAGGTGTCCATGTCAGTGGTGACCTCGAGCTTGTCGCCGAGGAGGCCCGAGGTGACAGCGGTGGCGGCCTCAACGACCTGGAGACCACGGCCAACGTCGCCCTGGGCGTCGGCGAAGGTCTTGCCCTGCTCGAGGACAATCGACTGGGCGATCTCGGGGGTGTGCTGGCGGATGAGGTTCATGAGCTCGAACATGACGCGCTGGCGGCGCATGATCGAGGTCTGCGACCAGGTCTTGAAGGCCTCGGACGCGGCGCCGACGGCGGCGTTGAACTCGGCCTCGGTGGTCTCAGGAACACGGGTAAGGAGCGTCTGCGAGGACTGAGGGTCAGCGGTGCTCACTCAAGAGAGAGGCGCGGAGAAGTCCGAGGCGTGGCGAGGAGGCGAAGCCGCCGGAGCGGAGCTGCCTCGGCCCCGGCGCGAGATGCAAAGCAAGAACTGAGCACAGATCATGGAGCACGGGATGATGGAGCCCAAGCCAAGAGCTCCGGCCGCATACCGCCGCAGCCCCACTTGGGCCTCTCGGCTCTCGGAGCTCGGCATTGAGAATCGGCTGTCTCGCGCGTACAGTGTGTGTGTCGATATCACCACACCGAAATCAAACTCACGGGGTCGTGGACGTCCACCCACTTGCTGCACGACGACTCGACGAACTCGCCACCAATGTAGTTCTTGGTGTTACCGCCGAGGGCCGAGGTACCCTTCCACTTGGACGAGACCTCCTCGGCAGCCTTGGCGGCGAGGGGCGAGAGCTGCGACGCACCGCCGGTCACGGGGTGGGCGGCGGTCGAGGCGTAGCCGCGAGCGGCGCGGAGGGTGGTGGAGGAGAGACGGGCGGAGCGAAGCATGCTGTGCTTTTTGGAGAAGAGGGGGGAGATGAGAAAGAGAGAGAGGGGGAGGCGATGGCGACGGAAAGACAACTTAAGGCAGGTCGGTGCTCGCGGCGCGCGGCGGTAGTGCCGGTGGACCGTACAGTGGGCGTGCCTTCGGCTCGGAGCATTAGCCGAGACGACTGGCGAAATCTCGGCAAAGTTGATATTATCGACCCCCAGATAATTACCATCACATCATCATTGTTATGCCACATTCCTAATGGCCATTAGGTTTTGCATTCCGCCCCCAGCCCCCACAGTCCTCTCTGGGGCCGGACAACCTTGCAAGCCCCGAGCCGGCTCCCTGGCGCTACGCGCTCGCAAAGTCTTTGCCCACCATCGCCGCATATGCCCCGCACCTAGGACTGGACATGTCTGAGCGCCTGGTCCAGCCTCATCAGCCCTCGACCGCCTCGACACGACATGCCATACGTCCGCATGTTCTCTACACGTGCACACCCTGGACTCCACAGATGTCGGACTACCCGTTGCCGTTCAGTTATCGCGTTATCCTGCGAGCAGCAGCGCTCGCTCACAGCTCGCCTACAGCCGAGATGCCCAGGTCACGCCACATTTTGGGCCGTCCTTTATCCGTATCCGCGAAGTAGGCCTTGGCCGATGGCTGCTGGTCGTCGTCGGCCCACACACATGTCGCGCCTTGTTTCTCCAGCAGCACGCGCACTGTCGCCCACGAAAAGCGCACCATTCCGCGGTACCCGAACACAGGGTCGACGTGTTCGCGTAGGAAGGCCTGCGTCCTTGGGTCTGCAGTTAGCCACAGTCCTGGCAAGGATGACTCGGGCTGATAGGCGGGTTGTCGTATGTCGTATCCATCAAATGCCCACCAAGCCCGGCATCAACCTCCCCCGCAGTACTCACCCGATGGATATCCGCTCCCGTGGATCACTTCCGCCGCGTCCTGACCTGGCAGTGGACCTTCTGGGTCTGTCCAGTGTTCGATATACCGGTCGCGCGTGACTTTGGCGATGATAGACGCTGCTCCGACAATCTTGAACAAGCTATCGGCCTTGGGGCACACAAGAAACTTGATAGTAGGGAAGGCCGCACTCAGCCGATCTTGCCACACCTGGCTCGGACCGAGCGCGTCGACGAAGCACTGCAATCAGCACAGAAGACGAGGGTAGTCACCTCGCGGATGTTTAACCCGCGGTCCAATGCGTCGCGGATCAAACCCATGGTCGCGTCCTGCGCCTGCTGGTTTAAATTGATCGGCACGCGGCGCAGCATGCCCGCTGAGATAGCCTGTGGGGACAGGGTGCATGAAGAATAACACAAGGGCGCGTTGACGTCGAACGACTCCCAAAGCGCCTGCCGAACCTCGGGTTTCAGAGCCTTGGAGTCTGGTGTGAGCTGTGCCGCTGTGAGCTAGAATACCCACCATCGAACCCGATACCCTCCAGTGTTGATTTGAAAGACATGGGGCAGTAAGCTGCTGCGTATACCATGGGCCCTAGGACCGCTGCTGTCAGCTTGATACAGGCCTTGCAACTCACGTCCGCGCCCGGCCTCGTCGATGCCCATGATCCATCCTTCCTTGTTCTCGTCGGACGTTGGGTCGAAGTCGTCCGGCAGCACCGAGTGGAAGGTGTAAGAGTCCAGAAGCGGCGGAATCGGGTCAAGGTTGACGGGGTCTACATGTGTCATGATTGGAGGTGAGAGCTTGCTGCTGATGACGAGGCTGAGTGGGGATGGATGTTGTTGATTTTGGACGCGACGCGTCTGTAATGTGGAGGTGGAGCCACGTGACTTGGCCAACACCTAATCCATTCTCCCACGGGTGACGTCAACACACGAAGCACCCCTTTCGGTTTGGACGCGACGCGCTTGATCTTGTCAACAATTGCTCTCCGCATATACCATCTTAACATTGCACTGGATCATCAGCCGTTGTAATGTCGCTCACGAACGAGGAGAGCCTCTTCTCAGGATTGAGACGGCAGGTCGAGCAGGCTAGAGGTGAGTTTCTGTGGGGTCGTGCTGATATCAGATCGCCATCATGAGCAGCTGTCAGGCCTCGAGGCGGACAAAGAACGCCTGCACGCCGAGTGCGCGGCGCTGAAGCGCGAGGCCTTCGAGATGCGTGCATCCAACGCAGCTGCACTGGAAGAGCACCAGCGCCACCTCGCGGCAATCGCTCGCGTGCAAGCTGACCTCGAGGCGCTGCGGGTCGCGTACATTGCCGCCGACGATGACCGGGAGCACTTTCAAGCGGGCGAGGCGATGGCGGCGGACGAGGCGCAACAGCTTGGCCCCCTCCGGCGCGCATTGTGCTTCAAGGACGAGCGTATCCGCGAGCTTGAGGAGGAGGTGCGCGCTGCCAACGACTGGGCGGCGGCCGGCATCGAGATGGAGCAGGTTGTTGCTGCGGGTCTGCGAGAGCGGATCGGGCGCCTCGAGCGCCGCCTTCGAGACAAGAGCAGCGAGGAGCGTGCGCGCTCCGAGTCTGCTGAGGCCGAGCACGAGCTCGCTGTTGCGCGGGAGCAGCTTGAGTGCGTTCAGTGCGAGTTTCGAGATGCCCGAGAAGCTCTCACAAATGAGATCAAGACGAGCGCGCGCCAGCAGCGCCGTGCCGAGGAGGCGGAGGACGCACTGCGGGAGGCACGCGAGGAGGCGCGGCATTACCGTGAGGCTGCGAGTGAGCGGGACGCGCTACGTCGGCGGCTGGCGGAGCTTGAGGCGGGCGGGGGTAACACGACGTGAGTTGGCGCAATGTCGAGAGCTTACACCAGTCCGCGCGCACTACAGCCCGTGTCTCCCAACACGCCAAAGCAGGACCTCAACCCCGATAATGCGGTGTCGCCGTCCAAGATGGTCTCCCGATTGCACCGAGAACTGGCGCACGTCCGGACCCAACACGCGGCGTTGAAGGCGGCACACGACGAGCTCCGTGACAAGTACGTCCGCCTGTCTGCCAAGCGCGAGAAGGAGCGACAACACTTCAAGGAGTTCCACGCCGTATACGTGGCGCGCAAAGATGCCAAGCGCAAGCGTCGGCAGCTCGATGCTGCATCAGGCATGCCGGAGCCTTCAGCGGCGACGCCTCCCGGACCGTCATCGCATCCCAGCTCGGTGCTAGGCCCAAGCTCGCCGCAGGCGGCTCGTAGGGAGAGTAGGGATGAAGAGCCGCCGGCGAAGCGTATGCGTTCTAGCCAGCTGCGTGAGGTCGAGAACGCCGGGCCGCTACCGTCGCCCAAGTCCGCAACCAATAATGTCTCACATGCCTCCGAGGACGTGCATAAAGCAGGGCCGTCTGCGGGGCCATCTAAGCCGCTCTCGCCTGCGGCCGACCTCTCCGCCGCACCATCACCAGAGCCCGTTGGGCACCCATGCCCTCCGAAGTCTCCATCGCCTCGCCCGGTCGATTCTCCCCGTCCAGCGGCCGCAGCGGACCTCACCGGCCCCAAGCCCCTCCCATCGACTTCCGCCCAATCCACCACACCGGCCCTCTCCAAACGCAGCATAACAGCAGCCAAGCTCGCCGCGTCCGTGTCAACCCCCATCACGCGCACGCCGACGCCACTAACCCGCCTCGCGTCACGCGTAACCCCCTGGCTGGGGGGGACGACGCGGGCGCCGTCGTCGTCGCGCAAGCCCCGCGACTCGTTCGGGAGCGACGACGCGCCGAGCCCAGCACCGACGCGCCGGCTCGTGCGCGACCGCACGGGCACGACGTCGCTGCTGGAGGACGCGCCGCGCTCCGCGACGCGGCTCGACTTTGAGGGCTTGACGCCCGCCGAGCGCGCGGCCGAGCGCAAGCGCCTCGCGGCCCTGCCCGCCGCCGAGCGCAGAAAGGTGTATGCCGCGTATAAAGGCAAGGGGCGGTATGTGGCGCCCTCCGACACGTGAGTCGTGGGCGTGCGCAGCTGACGGCAGCACGACGTTTGCGGACGAGTACGAGATCGACCCGGCGCGCAACGACGGCGTGGGGTACCAGTTCGACGCGGTCGTACGGGACCGCGCGGCGCGCAGGCGCATGCATGGCGGCGACTGCGAGTGCTGTCGCGACGTGAGTGACGCCTGTGCCAGGCTGATGTTTGCAGTATTATGCGGCCGTGGGCGACATTCCGCGCTTCCACTCGGCGCCGGCGTGGCGCGACGAGCCAGACGGAGATGCAGGGGGCGCGGGCGCAGGGGATACACCAGCAGGCGTAGGAATCGAGGACCATCAGAAGCGCGTGTCCCGACACCGTGAGGTTTGGCGGCGTCCCCCAACACCCCCGGATTTTTGGAAGATCGCGTTTCCTACCACCCAGGAGGTCGAGGACGTCAACCGTCGCGCGGATGAGATGACGGCGGCGCGCGAGGCCGAGGTCCGCCGCGAAGCTGCGTGAGTGTCCCGAAGGGTTGGCTGACATTAGGCACAAGGACAGTAAATGGCGCAAGCGGGTGTAGTTCCCCATAGAATGTTGTTGTACTAGTACAGTTGTGCAGTCCCATGCCTTGCAGTGAAAGTACAACGATGGCTACGATCTTCGCGCATACTGCGCATCACAGCATCCGGTCTCCTCTCCGACCGGGGTACGGTGTGGCTCGTACAGGCGAGGTGGTGGCCGCGGCGTCAGAGCGCTTCGAGGTCAGACGCGGAGTCTGCAGGAGAACGACAGCGCATCAGCCACTCTAAGGGTTCCGGCGCAGGTGGTTGCTCGGAATTCGCGGTACAGGCGGCGGTGTTTCCAAGAACATCGGAACCGAATTGGGTCTTGCGTGCGGCGTCTTCGGCGCAGGGATACTGGAGGGCGCCGCACCGATCTCGTTGACCCCGACACTCGAGCGCCGAGGCAAGCGTCTCAGCCCCTTGTTTCCCGAAGCCGGCATGGACGTGCCTCTCACGCTGTTGCTTAGGTTGCTGGCGTTGCTACGACTCGAAACGGCGCTAATGCTCGATTGCGTGCTGATCGCGCTCACCCCGCTCACCCCACTAGCAGCACTGACAGCACTCGCAACGGAAGATGCCGACGCTGACTGCGCCATGTGCAGTCCACCCATGCCTGGGGCTGGGCCACGACCAAGCGTACGTGGCCCAGAACTCTGGGGGCCCCGGGCGACGGTGCGCTCGCTACGCTCTCCGCGCTCGTCAACGCTGCCTATCCGCGAGTGTGGACGCATCGCGTCCGAGCGTGAGGGTGGACGCATGTCAGACCTGGAGGAAGGACGTGCCTCAGAGCGCGATGGTGGACGCATGCTGGATCGCGAGAGCGTGCGGAGGTCCACCGACACAGTCCGCGAATGATCCGCGCGCGACGAGCGGCCGGAAACCGACTGGCCGAAGGACACCATCGAATCTGTGGGGCTCAATATCTGCGATCCCACCGAAGCCCTCCGTGACGGCCCCGGGATGAAGCTTGGGCTCATGGCACCACTTCGGCTCGACGATCTCGTGTGGGTTTGCGTCCGTGACGGTGGCCTGGACACACCACCATGCACTGACTGAGAAAGCGAGCTCCGACCGGTCGACGACCCGCTTATGCCCGTCGAGACAGACAGGGGCGGTCTGCCTGAAGAGCGAACAGTCTTGTGCAAGGCGCGCGTTGTGGCGTTGGGCGTGTGACCCGGAGAACCGCGATGGCTTCGCGCGAGGTGGGGAGCAAGAGGGGATGGTATTCCTGGTCGTTTGGGAAGCATGTTGCCCCCCACACCCCGTGACGTCTCCAGAGGAGAAGACGGGTCACGCTTGCGGAGCTGGCCTGGGCGGGCCGGCGGTGTGTCCTCCGGATCTGATAGCATTACCCATGCAGTGGGGGAGAGAATGTTGGAGCTGCTGGCCGTCGGTGTGACCGTGGCCGAGGCCGTGATCGCGGCACCAGGTGGTGGCTTTGACAAGGCTGCCACCCTGGTGTGCTGTGCGTTCGCATGATGACCGGATGGGACCACGGTTGCGCTTGGGAGCGTACTCTTGCGCTGGGGTGCGACGCTTCGCTTCGGCATGCGGGCACCCAGACGGTCGTCCGTTGCTTTGAGCCTCGTTTGAATGTCTTGGAGGAGGCGCAGACCCTTGTTGGTCTTTGGTGGTTGTCCACTAAGATTTGCCATGGTCGAAGTCCGACGCATGGGGCCAGTCTCGCTCGACGCGAGTATCCGAGAGGTGGTGCTCCTTGTGAGAGAGGGAATCCCAGACGGGGAAGGTGCCGACAAGGCCTTTCTCACATTCGGGGATGCCAGAGCAGGCGTAGTCGTGCTGCGCGGGATGCGAGGTGACTGTCTAACGGTCCGTGGTGTGACGGTCGGGCTGCGATCGGTGCGGCTAGTCGCTGCCACAGAGTGTGACGACCTGTGAGTGGTGCCCGATGCGTCAGTGAGGGTCGGAGAAGGAGCGTCAGAGCGCGCGTGCAGGTCCGTCATCGGAGACATTGGGGCGTCCGACGACGGCGGGGTGGGAACCACTGCTTTGGCCAGGCGGTCGCGAAGGATGGCGATTTCATTATTGGCATCTGTGCGAGTCAGCCGAGAGCTCTGTGACAGTGGGACCTACCGCGAACATCGTCCTTGAGACGCTGGCACTCCTCGTCGAGCTCCTGCTTGGCAATGACTTCCTGCTCGAGTAAGGTCTTCTCCTCGATCGTGCGGTTATACTTGATCTCCATGTCGAGCAGGGACGAGTGAGTCACGCTGCTTGTCAGCTGGTGGGGAATGTACCTCTGGGTCAGACTCACCGGTGCTTGCTTTCCAGCTCGTCGTTGCCCATTTCTAAATCGCGGATGGCAATGAGGGTGTTGTCACGCTCCGAGCGCAAATTGTCCATCTCGAGCTGCATGGCGCTGACAGTTGAAGAGTGCTGCTTTTGGAGAGCAATGAACTTGTTCTGGGGCAGTGAGCACAGAGCCTGGCGGTGGGCGCGCGCTCACCTTCCACTCTTCCTTGTCGGCCTCGAGACGTGTAATGCGTTCCTGGAGGTCTGCATGCTTTGCCTCTGTCGCCTCCAACTCTTGCTCTAGTTCTTGCTCTAGCTCGCGTGAAGAGACCTGGAACTCGTCTTTTGTGGCGTCAGGCTAAATGGGATCACACGCGTATTTGGAGTGCCCGAGAGCAAGAGACAAGGACATACCGAGCTCGGCGCGCGTTTCGTTGAGTAATTCGACGGCGACACGATACTTGTCGCGGTAGTACGAGGCCTCGTCCTTGGGGGAGTCAAAGCTGTTCAAGTCAGTGTAGTGTCAAGTGGGTTGAGGAGTGCTTGGGTGGTCGAGAGAGAGGAGGGAAGGAGGTGAAACGCACGCCAAGTCATCGTCGTCGTCTACTCGGAAGGGAGATGGTGAGGAGGAGTGGTGGTGGTGGTGGTGATTGAAGCCGTTTGATGTGGCGGAGGGTGGAGGGGTGCCGTACAAGGCCGACATGGCCCTCTGCCGGGTTGAGGAGGGGAGGGGAGGGGAGGGGGGAGAGAGAGAAAGAGATGAGGAGGAGGAGTGATGTGATGACGATGACGAGGCAAGCTGAGAGACCGAGCAGCAGCGATGAGGCCGCCGTCGCGCGCTGCCGCTTTGTTGACGCGCGCGGCGCCGCGTTGACCTGATTCAGGGTAAAATCGCACCACGGTTGGGTGGCAAATAAGCCAAAGGTGGTGGACGCCACCGGTGTAAACGCCGCGGCGAATTGGAAGGGGGAGCTCACCCAGCAGGGGCAGAGGGGGAACTTAGACGTTTGCGGAGAGGAGGGAAGGTGGTGGGGTGGTGGGTGGGCCGAGTTGGCCTGGGCGGGTCGAGTTGGGTGAACAACTCTCTCTCTCTCCCTCCCTCTCTCTCGCTCTCTTCTCGTTTGATCGTTTACTCATCCATCTCCTTTCCACATCCTCCATCCTCTCTCATCCTCCATCTCCTCTCCTCTTCTCGTCATCCTCCATCTCCCATCCCCCATCCCCCATCCCCCATCCCCCATCCCCCGCGGCCCCCTCCCTCTCCCGGCCCCCCCGGAATCATTTAGAGTCACACCTTTCCTTGACCAAAACTCCCTTCCTCCCGAGCATGAACGCAGACCTCAAGAGGGTGCGCGACAGCTCTCTCGACGCTCCCTCCTCCTCCTCAAAACGACGAGCAATCGGCTCCGGCTCTAGTCCAGGTCACTCTCCTTCATCTCCACATCAACCAAAGGATCACGAGAATGAAGAAGACGAAGATATCGAGGACTGGATGCGCGTCGTTGAGTCACATCGCAAGGAAGCCCTCTTTCGCCAGATGCTCGAATACCGTCGCGCATCTCAACGAGAAGCTGCCCGCGCATCAGCACTCGAGTCCCAAAAGCGCAACCTCCAGGCCTGCTTTCGCTCTGTAGAGGCCTGCTGGGCACAGGTGCGTACTCGTCCGCTCTGCCGTTGGGTGACGGCGCGCGAACCAGAAGCGTGTGTGCTGACAGGGCGCAGCTCGTATCCTCAGTGCGAGATCGCGCAGGGAACCTCCCAGGACTAGATGGGTCCTTGATAGACAGTAAGTGCTTCTAACCTCACAGGCAAACGTTTGCTGACCCAGCTCAGGCTCCATCGACACAACCTTGGATCAAGAGCAGGTCGACAAAGTGGTCCAGTCACGGTTGGAAGCGACTCTTCGTCTTGTGGCAGGTTTCGCAGATGCAGCCGCGGGCAAGCATTCGTCCGACTTTGGTGGAGATCTGCGACAGCGGGCAGACACGTTGCAACTGGAAGTGAGTTCACCACCAAGCAATGGGCATGCGCTGACCATGCAGTCGAGCAAGCTCCGAGCAGACTTGTCTCAAGCGAGGTCACAGTTGGAAGACGTTCGAGAGTCGCGAGACACACACTTGCGAGACTTGCAAAGAGCCGAGAAACGTTTGGACAAGCTCAAGATGGACATGGACAAGGAACGCCTCGCATGGAACGCTCAGCGCGAGTCATCTTCCGCAGCTGCCCCCGCCAAGCCTATTGCCAATGGCTCGGGACATTCTACACCCAACGCTCGCGCATCAGAGGTACCAGAAGCGAAGCCTCTACCTGTCGGGGGCGTGGCCACTTCCGATGAGACCGAACAGCGATGCGCCGAGCTGGAGTTGCTTGCCAAGTCTCGCCTGCAACAACTCGAGGCCTTGAGGGCAGAGCATACATCCCTGACTCAACAGGTGGACAAGTTACGACTTCAGGTGGGTTCCCGGAGACGTGTACGTTTCGACTGACAGCAGGCACATAACCCCTCTGAGGAGGCTTTGCGCCAATCACCCTTCTTCCAAGTCTACTTGCAACGATTGGCATCCTCGGCTGCTGGTGCAGAGGCATTGCAACAACGGTTCGAGCAGGCTGAGCAAAAGCTTGATCTTTTGCGAGACAGCAATCTCGAGTTCCGCGAAGCCGTTATCGCCGAGGCGCGCACCGAGGTCGATGCCCTGCGTGAGAAGCTTGGCCAGAAGGATGTCGATCTCGCTCGCTTGCGCGGGCAGCGCGATGAACTCAACGCCGAGTTGACTGAGCGGAGAGTTCGCGACACGGACAAGATGCGATTTGCCGACGAGATGGAGCAGCTGTGCGCAAAGCGCGAGGAGCGCATCAGTTTCCTCTGCTCTGAGGTGCGAAGGCTGAAGAGCAAGCTCGCAGCCAAAGACGGCGCCGAGGGATATCTCGCCTTCCTCAAGGACGGCCCTGTTGACGGGGACTACGTCAAGGCTCTGGAAGAGCAGCTCCAAACCACTAGGGATCAGGTGTCGAGTCTCACTGAACAGCTCAAAAACGCATCGGAGGGCGAGGCGGCCGCCGCGGCGTCGGACACCGCTATCCGTACGGAGCTCGAATCTGCGCGTCGGCGCCTTGCCGAGTACGAGCGAATCCTTGGCCCCAATGCCTCGCCCGACGTCAAGGAATTGGCCGAGAGGCTGGAACAGCAAGCTGAAGCACGCAAGAAGCTGGAGCTGGAGCTCGCTGAGGCCGAGGAGGCCACGAATGCGCTGTACCAGGAGCTTGAGGGCGTCAACAAGCTGTGGGAGGAGCTCGACCAGACGCTCAAGACCAAGATTTTTGAGCTCAAGGACAGCGAACTCCGCATGCAGCGTCTCAGCACCGAGAAAGCAAAGGCGGACAACAAATACTTCACGGCTATGCGTAGCAAGGAAGGCGTCGAGGCGGAGCTCAGAGCTGCTCAACGCACCGTTGCCAAGCAGCTCAAGCTGATCGAGAAGGCCAAAGAAGTGGAGAAGAACCACAGCACACAGATTGTAAGAAAGATGCGGCTGCGGTAGCTAACGTCCAGGCTCAGCAGGAGAAGACACTCACCTCGCTGAAGAACTCGCTGCTCGATATCACAACACAGCTGGCAACGGCGGCTTCAGATAAGAAGCAACTCGAGCTGCGACTCCAGGCGATCAACGCAACGCTTGCCGAGGCGCAGCAAATCGCCCAAACACGTGTTGCCGAGGCGGCGGCGGACAAGGGTATGCGTGCTAAGGCTGTGGATGAGCTGCAGCAAGTGAAATCGAGCCTTCAGAAGCTCAAGGAGGTGCACGAGCAACTCACTTCCACCGCCAACGCACAGGGCGGGTCTGCGGCGGATGTCGCCATTCGGGAGGAGCGAGCGAAGCTACTTGTGAGTGAAGAACGGGTGCTCAAGAGGGCGTGGCTTGGTGCACGAGTAGCACTGCAGTGACCAGTGCGGTTGCAATCCTGTCGGCCAAGCTCTCGAGAAGTTTGGCCGATTGCGATCTCAGCTTTGTTCACGCACTGCCACGCTATGTGCTCATTCTCGCTTGGTCGCGAGCAGTGATCTGCGCTCGGACCGTAGGCTGATGGCAGAAACTTCTTCGGTGTTCATGTTGCGACATCAACTTCAAACAGCAAGTCATTGTCAAGTGTATGCACACGTTCTGCAAGGAGTGAGTTTCTTCATGAGTCAAACCGCGGCCTCGGACGACCACTCGGCGTCAGGGGCCGAGGGTTGTTTCGTATCGGCAACTGCCGGCGGCAAGTGTGAAAATCTGTCCCTGACACGTGCCCAGATGTCTCGACAAGCGAATTGAAACACGCCAGCGCAAGTGCCCTGCATGCGCTTCGGTCTTTTCCAAGGAGGATTGCAAGACGCTCTACTGGCAATAGGCGGGTCTGGGCAGCCGGGCAGCCGGGTCGCAGGGTCGCCGTTTGCTCGCCAATCTCGGAAGGACCCACGCAGGCCAAGAATCGGAGTCGCGCGTCCGACACGGGGAGCACCGCATTGTGTCTGTCCGCGGCGGTGTGTTTATTAGTCGCCGTTGCCGCCGTTGCCACCGTTGCCACCGTTGTTGGCGATGTGGGTTGCCGTGGTGTCCACGGTTGGGTAATGAGAGGCGTATTCGTGTAGAGGAGTAAGCCAGCAAAGCGGGACCACCTACCACCGTATATGTTTGTACTAGTAGCATCCACACCGTCTGTTATCATGAACAGTAGTACCGTGTACTATGTGCGAGAGCATTCAATGGAGGGAAATGGATAGTAGTGGAGTCGTGGAGTTGCGTCAAGAGAGGAGATGCTCATTTGTTGATGAGATTGCGATATCTTTTGACCTTGTTGACTCGCCCTCTGACCCTGGATGGATGCAGGCAGGCAATTTGCCACAGCTCTGCCGGCCCCGCAACCCATGGCCCCCTGGCGCTTGGCGATGCATGGATAAGAGCAAGGGCGCGAGGCTGCGAGGGGATGAGACCGGACACGGGCCGAACGGCATCCGAAGTGAGAGCCGTCCATGCCGCCGCCGCCGCCACCGCCGCCCATCAGGCAGCAGCAGGCAATCAGGTAATCACAGATCTCTATCACACAGTCTATCACAACAGAGGCGTACAGTACAGTACAGTAGACACCGGCGATATCTTTGTGTCGGTCGGTGTCAAGTCTCCGATCCTGTCGACTTGCCACCTGTCCATGCACCAGCTGCTAATAACGTCACTGCGGTATTGCTGAGGTTGCTGTGCTGTCGAAAAACCTGAAGCGAGAGTCCAGGCTGCAGGCTGGATGGAAGCAACTGGCAACTGGCAACTGGCAGCTGGGTCTTGCGTCTGTGCGATAGGCAAATAGGCAACTGACTGCCCCTGCGTGCTACCTCGCACCGACTCAGCTCGCACCCTTGTCGCGATAGATACATGCGCAATAACGCGTTCGAGACGCCTTTTCTCTTCTTTCTCTTTCTCTTTCTCTTCAGCGTCTGTATAATTTACCATCCTACACACTAGCTCCTGCTCTCACGCAGTACGGCGGCGCTATTGATTGTGCCGGTTGCGCCTCTCCCCCCCATCGGCCATCATTTCCACCCACCCGACATATCTGCGCCTTGTGTTCATTCATACCTTGCCGACTACCGAAAGCCAAGTGCCGACTGCCTCTACTCTTCCAACAAGCACAACGCACGATCCAAGCGAGACACTCAGAGGGATAGCTAGGGGCAGGCAGACTGCACGACCAGTGGTAGAGCTGAATTCTGCCGGTTCTGCGCCTTATCTCGAGTTTGTCTCCCAGTGCGCCACCACCATTGCAGAGATCCCTTGCACGAGCCGATCGGGCCGACTGTGTCTGTGCGCAACAACCACCCGCCGGCCCTATTTCACTCCGTCATCCTCCTCCTCGTCGTCCTCATCGTCCATCAAAGACCTCTTCTGCCGTCTCTGCACTCTTGCACCTACTGTACACCGCGCTCCCCGCCACACTGTCATCCACTACTCGTACCGTACACGGGTCGAGCGCTGAGCTCAACGTCTACGTCGACGTCGATTTCGTACCGGTATCTGTCGAGTCACCCAGAATTTCATCAGGTCAAAGAATCAATACCCCCCCTCTAACACCCCCCCTGCGCGTCATCTCTCGGCCGCGCACCCCGCGCCCCCCGCGCCACTCTACGCCTCCTTCGGCGATCGGCCCAGCACTCCGCACTTGACTTTGGTTCTCCACCACCACTCATCCTCCATTCATCAACATTTGCATCACTCATCAATCATCTACACATCGCATGCACCGCCCAGCTTGGAATCATCATCACCATCCAATCCTCGCTCCACGCGCACTACATTGAACGTCGCTCTTCATTCCTGAGAGCGGCCGACACTTATCGTCACGACAAGGATCCACAGGCGCACATCGCTCACCGCGCTCTAGCACGCACGTCCCATACGCCCGAGTCTTGCACCGATCTCACCCGCACGTCCAGAGGTCCCCCCGCGATCACTTCGACTCCCCATCGTCCACACACTCCATCCGCGGCCCCTTCCGGCCTCCCCGCACCGTCCCCCCCACGCTCTCCCACACGACCCTCTCCGGGCTTCCCTCTCGCGCAACTTACCCACCATGCCAATGTTGCGGTATCCCACCTCCAACTCGAGCTCGGCGCGTCCATCGCGCCCAGTCTCGCCAGCGCCAGCCGGACCCCCACCTGACCCAAGTCTCGATTACCTCACACGCCCCAGCCTCTCTTCCGACGCGAACAATCACCTCGCGTACGCCGCGGCGCACGGCGTCCTTCCTCCGCCTACTGTGAGTGGGTTGCCGCCCAACACGACTCCCCAGGCGCTCGCATACGCTGCAGCCCACGGCGTTTTCCCAAACGAAGCCGCGGGGCCGAGCCGCATGGGGTCCGCCGCCAGCCGCTTGGCGGAGCGCAACCCGGCCCTCCGCACCGCCGATAGCTACTCCAGCATCCCCAGTGTCTCCAGCGTCTCGTCGTCAGCGGCCATGAGCCGCTCGCACTCCACCATGAGCGCGGCCTCCACGCCCGCTGGATCCACGTTGGGCGTTTCATCTGCCGGGCATGGGTCTCATGTTCACCCGCATTCCAGCGCCAACCCTCTCGAGATCAAGCTCGACTCGGACCACCTCGTCCTCCGAGGCCAGGGCAGCGACATGGCCCCAGCGTACCTCTCCGGCTACGTGAGCTTGTGGCTCGCGGAGAGCACCAACATCAAGGACATTACGATGAGCCTCACCGGCAAGGCCAAGGTCCAGTTCTCTGATTCTTCCAGGTGAGTCCAGCCAGCAGAGATGGCGCACGTACGCAGTCTCGGGCGCACAGCTGTCGTCACCTACATCAATCTTTCCCTCCCCTTCTTCCACTTCATTCTCCATTCTCCTCTCTCGTACGAGGACGTGTGTCGGCGAAGCGTTTCCCTTCGGCCGATGCTCGTGTGCCCCAAGGACGTCTCCGCGCATCCTCTGCCATACGCAGGCGCTTCACGCAGAGCTTCACACACCGCCCCGCTCCCAATTCCCGTTACATTGCATGATATCTTTTCGCGTCTTGGATCCCCTTTCCAGCGGCCAAACGGCACAAACATGCCCAAAACTTGTTCTTGGCCTGTCGGCGATCGCCGGCCGAGGCCCTACTCTGACCCCACACAGGGTTTCTCCACTCGGCGTCACTCCAAGCCAGCTGCTCACTGGTCACTGCCGACTCTGTGCTCCAGATAAGGTGCACAGACAATGGTCGCGGCGGGGCGGACCTTGTATGCTTGGCCGAGACCGAGGCCGATTCCTCCCCGGCGCCCGGGGCCGTGTGGGGCACACTCTGCCCCGCTCCTTGGCGGCTGACGTCGGGCGGACTCGTCCCGTCTTGCCGACTGCCCGTGACGTCCACTCCTCCTAGGTCTCCGCGCTGACCCTAGTCACAACTACACGCACAACATCATTGCGCACGACTGGTCGTTCCTCCAGGGCAACAAGAGGCATACGCATACATTGAAAGCCGGCCTGCACACCTTCCCATTTTCCTTCACCATCGATGGCAATCTCCCGTCCTCAGTGACGACCTTTCCCGGTGATGGCGACATTACATATCGACTGCGGGCTCAGGTGATCCGCTCCGGCCTCGCGTTCAACCTGAGCGCATACCGCACATTTACCGTTGTGAGGACATACACGCCCGAAGCCCTCGAGTTCAACCAGACGCTCGAGATCGAGAATACGTGGCCTGGCAAAATCATGTACTCGATCACGCTGCCGTTCAAGGCGTACGCGGCTGGCGACTCGATCCCGGTCATCTTAAAGTTCATGCCTATTGCCAAGGGCGTGCGAGTAATCAACATCACATCGGTGGTCAAGGAATATTCCTTGGTCAACACGCGCGGGTCGACGCATCCAGAAACACGAGCCGTCATCACGGTCAAACACGACATTGTTGACGGGCGACCAAAGATTGTCGAACGCGAGATCATGCGTCCACCGTACCACTGGAGTGGGATGGCTGCGTCCGAGTGGCGCCCCGAAATTCTCGAGGTCGTTCCTGGCGAGGCGCTGTCGGGGGCATCAACGACAAGGAGCTCCGGCGAAGGATCAAATCGGCACGAGGAGACGACCGAAGAGGTGCTCGAGAGCCTCACGCGCGGTGACGATGAGCTGAGCCTAAAGGTCATGATACCACTTCCGCCGTGGACGACTCCGACGCATACGATCAAGCCAGTGTACGTGACGCACAAGGTCAAGTGGTCGTGCTCGATCGCCAATGCCGACGGGCACATCTCGGAGCTGCGTTGTGCACTTCCCATTTGCATCCTGGACAACTCGCTGCTTATGGAGGCTAGAATGAACGGTGCACCTGCACGCAACCTGCTCCTCGGCATCGATGCCGAGGCATCCGCGCAGCAGGTCGACCTCCCGAGCTACAGCAACCACGTCTACGACCGCGTGGCTGTTCCTGACCCCGGCAGCTCAGGTTTCGCAGGAGCAGGCAGCTCGGGGATCTCGCTGCGCAGCACGCCCAATGTGACGCCGCCGCACTCTAGACCCGGCTCGCCTGCGCACGGGCGCAGCAGCAACCGCTCGCGCGGGAACAGCGATGCATACGACCTCCCGCCGCGGCGGCAGCTCACGGACGCAGAGCACGCCATGCTCCAAGCGGCGGGGCTGGGCAGCGGGCCGATGAGCGCGTCCTCCGAGTCGCCGCAGGAGCACAGCGCGAGCGGCAGCCGCTTCGCAAGCATGATGGGGTCGCGAACCGGCAGCCGGCCCAGCAGTCGCCAAGGAAGTCGGGCGGGTTCGCGGCCTGGCTCGCGCGCGTCTTCGCCCGACCGCAGCCACGCCAGCAGCGACGACACACATACGGAGCGGCGCGGCCTATCTGGCCTGCTGCACCTGAAGCCCCTCAGCGCGCTAGGCACGAAAAGCCCGATCCTGCGCAACGGGCATGCGGCGTATAGCGGGTCGAGCTCGCCGGTCCTGCCAGCCGGGCTGACGCGCAACGGCGTGAGCTTTGCGGACCTGCCCGCGCCGGCGTTGAGCGAGCGGCAGGAACCCGGATCGCGCAGAGGCGGCAGATTCCACGTGTACGACGACGACGACGACTCGCTGCTGGACGAGACGGCGGCGGCGCTCTCCCGCGTCCCGAGCTACACTGACGAGAGCGGGACGCAGTTCGTCGTGCCCCTCGACCCGGCGCTGCCGTCGTATGTCGACAGCGAGCGCCTCGAGAGTGCGCGGAGCACGACGGACCTCGGCGCACTGGCCGCGCGCACGCACGAGCTCGACCTCGCGGAGCGCACGCCGCGCCCGCCCGTGCGCGAGGTCGTGGATGAGTAGGTTGGGATGTAGTGGTGTCATAGACGTGTGTTGAGGTGTGCGGGAGCACGGTGAGGAGCGTCATGGCGCACGGACATTGCGTCACGCCTGCCGAAGATGATTCGTGTTGATGGCGTCGTCCGGCATTGCGATGGTGATCTGGACTCCGTTTAGCCGTACACCTAAATGTACAATATTGGAGCTATTTAGATGAATAGCCTAATAGCAGTTCTGTTGAAACTACTGTAGTTCTCGGCCCGGGCCAACACAAACATTGAAGTGGGGTGAGATTTTGCGGATAACCGAGTGGGGATGAAGTCACTCGAGTTGTTGAATTCCAGAGTTTTGATACTCTGGTCAGCAAGCACACGCGTGAGGTCATCCATGTCGGGCGTGACGTTCTGCGGTTGACCAGGAGCGTGCTGTCGATGTGGGCCAGAGTGGGCAAAGCTGTGATGGGGCAGCGCCATATGGCAGAGAAGCGGGGTTGAAGCATCACTGCTTGCTATAAGGTGAAGACCTAGTGTGCAGAGGTTGAAGCTCTTGGGATCACTCTGCCATGCTGCGAACATACGCGCTTGCAGTCTCGATGGATGCAGAGGTAAGTCCATGCGCACCGCCAGGCTTCCGCAGCGCTGGCGGTGCCGTGGACCTCCAGCGTCGCCAGAGCGTCGTCAGCCAAGAACACCGTGACGGCTGTCACGTTAAATTGGATGAACTGAGGACGGCCGCCGGCATGCGCGCCGCATCGTGCATTATTATTAGCGAGCCCCACGTTCGCGTGGAACACAGGGTGACTTCCACGCCGCAGCCCCGCAATAGGCGCTTCGTGGCTGCATTTAGCCAGCTCACAAGCTCACGCTCACACGCTCACAAGTTCGCTTGGTCGCGAGGGTCTTGAATGCGCTCCTGTGCCCTCCTGGAAGCGTGCACCCGCAACGTTCCCGCTGTCACGTTTCTTCCATCCGCATCCGCGCGTTACTTTGGGTCGAGCCGATGCCGACGCATTGCAGGATGGGCGAGCGGCCGTGGAGATGATGATTCCAGGGGACGCTGGATCGCTGAGGCGAGCAGGAGTGGTTGTTGCTTACCCAATTCTGGAATCGCCGCTGATTGGCCATTGCGCGCTTGTTTTCTTTCCGCATCGGGCGAAAACTGAATCCAACTCATACCGCCACATTACACCGACCAGCCACCGCCCTGCTGCCGTCATACCCATCAGCTGTCAGTCGGCCTGTCTGCCTGTCGGCCAGCTGCCTCGGCCTACCCTCGCCCGTGGACAGCTGGGGATCACGCCTAGCTGCCAGGAACCAAGATGGCGGCCAGGAGGAGGAGCAAAGCGGACTTGCCCGGAGCAGCCGCGCCACTGAATTGACAGAGTGGGCTGGTGCAGGGACGGCTGCGCCTGCTGTGCTGCCCTCACTGTTGTTCTGCAACAGTACATGACGCTGACACACTAGCGCCGAGCTTGCTGGCTCGCCAAAGCTTAATGCGACCGGGGTACTCGGCCGGTCGGCGTCCACGACGCCATGCCTGTCCATTGACACAAACACAGGAACTGGGTCGCTGGGCCGTTCTAAAAGCCAACATGGGCTCTGCACTCGACGCGCCTGACTTCTTTCTCACAGAGCAGGGATGGTGTCTCACTGCGGTTTGCTGGCTACAGTGGTGTAGCGCCTCGATCGACTCTCATTGAACCCTACGCATGCCTGCGACATCCCCACTGCCGCGGCAGGGGGCAAACCTACTAAAGACAGCAGAGCACAACACCGCCCGTCTCTTCACCCACTCCCCCTCATCTCCATCCCATACACTACACCCAGGCTCGCGGGCGAGCCATACAGCTGTGCTGTCAGAAGCTGGTCTTCATACCCCCATCCCCTAATCACCCCCCGTCCCATCCCAAACACGATGCTCGCCACCTTCGCCCTCACCACGCTGCTGGCCAGCGTGGGAGTCAGCGCCCAAGGCCAGGGCGGAGACCACTACGTCGCCCACCTCTCCCGCGTCCTCCGCCGCGACGCCCGCTACCCCGTCCTCCCCGACTTTTCCCCCCGCTCCGCTTTCCCCGACCCCGCAGGCATCGGCGGTGCGCACTACGCCCAGTCCCAGAACAAGGTAGCGGGCGGACACGCCTACGTTGTCGGCCGAGACAACTACGAGCGCGATGCCGCCGGTAATGTCATGTACGATGAGCGCGGGCTGCCCATCACCGCGACCACAACCGTAGTCGTGCCCATGACGACTACGACCGTGGTCTGGGTCGACCCAGCTACCCAGACCCCCTCGTCCGCCGTCAGCGAGTCGTCGGCGTCTGCCACGTCTGCTAGCTTCTCCCCCACTTTCGACGCTGGCACCCACATCGTGATTCCCCCCGAGCCATCCCAGTCCGCGTCGGTGTCTGGTACACCTTCGCCTTCTGCCACTGAGTCTCCAACAGGCTCGCCCTCTTCCTCTGCTGTCGTCCCCGGGTCGTCGTCAGCCTCCCCGTCCCTCTCCCCCTCCGCTCCCCCCTCGATTTCGTCCTCCCCCTCGCCATCGCAGGAGTCGTCTTCGGTGACGCCTTCATCGTCGTCGGTGTCGGAGTCGTCGTCGGTGTCGCCTTCGTCCGCCTCATCGATGTCGTCCGCATCGTCATCGACCCTCTCGACCGCATCCCCGTCGTCGTCCCTCTCGACCGTTTCCCCGTCGCCGTCCGAGACTTCCGCCACCCCGACCACTGCTTCGCCCTCCTCCGCCGCCCCCTCGTCAGCTACGCCGTCCCCTTCTACCTCCGCCCCCGCTGGCAACGAGGGACTCAACAGGCGCCTCATGAACGGCTACTGGGCCGATTGGACGGCCAACGTTGTTCCGCCAGAGTCGATCGATTGGAACCGCTTCGACGTCATGAACTTTGCCTTCGCCATCCCTACCTACGACGGCCGTTTGGAGTTCACGCAAGCCAACAGCGCTTCGCTCCTCCGCCGCCTGGTGACATCCGCGCACAGCAAGGGCAAGAAAGTCGTCCTCTCAGTCGGCGGTTGGACGGGCTCGGCGCACTTCAGCAGCATCGTCGCTGCCGACGACCGCTCGCAGGCTCTCATCAACAGCATTGTCGGCGCCATCAACGAGTACCAGCTTGACGGCATCGACCTCGACTGGGAATACCCCGGCGTCGCTGGTGCCCCGGGGAACAGTATCTCGCCCGACGACAGCGACAACTACATCGTATTCCTCCGCAAGCTTCGCCAGGCCGTCCCACAGGGCTCGCTCATCACCGCCGCCACGCAGGTGTGGCCCTTCGCTGGCACTGACGGCCGGCCTATGAGCGACGTTTCCGCGTTCGCTGAGGTCTTTGACTGGATCCTGCTCATGAACTACGACATCTGGGGCTCGTCGAGCTCCCCCGGCCCGAACGCTCCGCTCTCGGACGGCTGCAGGGACTCGAGCCAGCCTACTGCCAACGCATACGCCGCCGTCGCCTCGTGGGTAGCCGCAGGTTTCCCTGCCGACAAGATTACGCTCGGCGTTGCCGCGTACGGCTACGTCCAGCGCTCGGACGCCAACCAGCTCAAGCACCGCCGTTCGTACCCGCCTCCGCTCAAGCGGCAGAGCGTCACTCTCGTCAACGGCGACGGCGGCACCGCGGACGGGCAGGTCACCTTCCGCGGCCTCATTCAGCAGGGTGCTCTCGTCAACAGCGGCGGCAACTATGTCGGTGCCGGCGGCTTTACGCGCAACTGGGACGAGTGCTCGTCAACGCCTTGGCTCAAGTCGTCGAGTGCAGGCCAGATCGTTACGTACGACGACCCCCAGTCGCTCAACATGAAGGGCCAGTTTGCTGCGCAGGCAGGCATCCGTGGCTGCAGCATGTGGTCGGTCGACGGCGACTTCATCGACGGCTCGTGGCCGCTCACCGACGCCGTGCGCTCGGGTATGGGAATCTAAGCGTTGCCGTGAACCAGGCGCCGCTGTGGAAATACCCATACCCCTCTCAACCTCAGCGCGGACCTTGCAGCACCGACGGACACCGAGACATCCATGTAGCACACAAAGTACAGTAAATAGCTAGGGTTAACGATTAATGCGAACAATGCATGGGTGAATGGTGGCGTAGAGTGAGACTGTTGCTGATCATGAGCATGACTGATCTACATGAATCTGCCTCATGTAGGTGATCTAAAAAAGCGCGGATATGGTGATCCCAGCGGAAATCTGGGTACACATGAGCCTGTTCAGTTTGCAGCTATGACTCACCCTATCAGCATCTCGCGCCATCGCCACCTTTCGCACCGCTTCCTGATCACCCACTGTCCGTCTTTGAGGCGCAAAGATCGCCAAGTGTGGCGGCGGCCATGGGCTTATCGCCACCGATATTCCTATCGTGCCGCCTTGACAAACAAGGCGCGTGAAAGATCAGCACCTGAGTGTGCAACACACCGCGCCCTGAACCGACCTTGGCGTGTGACCGTGGCGGGTGGCGCCCAGCCACCATGACTCAGTGCGGGCGTGTGCGTTGCGAGCATTCATTGACTAAAGTTGACCTCCTAAGCCTAACCCGAAACAGCGACGCCCGCAACATTGACAACGCCGGCCGCACTTGAACGCCCGCCGCCTCCGCTTTGCGCGCCGCCGTCCTCCGCTCCTCCGCAATTTTCTGGGCCTCGCCGTCGCTGGACGTCTGCGGCTTGCACGAGCTTGCCATTGTCCTCCGTATGTACGGCTCATTACATGCACCTGAGAGACGGAAGCGAGCAACAGCGAGGCCGCGCGGAGAAGGTGTTACTCAGACGCTGGATCAGTGCGAAACGCCGCGCGCAAGCACACAGCCAGCCAGCCCTACATCCAGGTGCCTTGAGCTTGGCACATGCCTATCGCTGCCCGCATTTGTGGCGTCGCAGAAGCGTGCACGGCTTCTGGATGAGTGCAGATGCGCCCAGTAGTCGTCCGGGCCGAAGTGGAACCGAACGCAGAAGCCTTCTGCATCCATTCTCACGGCCGCGACAGCGGATGAGGCGGGAACCGAAAAGCTGGGCATAGACGTTGCCCGGTGTGTCTCTCGTAGTATACCTTGACGCGCTGCTAGGTGGCTTCTGCATTTCCCGTGCCGCGGTGACGAGAGCTCCGGCGAGAGTGCGCCCCCCGATGCTCCTCGGCCGATACTAAAATCAAAAAGACATGGTCAAGATAATGTAATGCAGAGTCCATGAAATACAACAAAGTACCAAGAGGCCCAGGGGCCGAACCCAACCTAAAGTGAAAGTCTACTATGCAATCGTCCATTAGAGCAGGTCCCACACGTGCAGTTCAAGGGCGGTTCCTCGGTCGCGAGGACTCGCGACGGCGGACGCCTCTCGGGGATGCATGTGGCGCACCCATCCCATCTTGGGCGGTCGGAGGCCGGCGTCGATAGTCGGCTCGTTGAGGAGGAGGGGGTCGACGATCTCAAAGTCTGATTCGGCGTTGTACGCGCATGCATGCAGCGTTGCTGAGACGACGAGTGTTCCGCCAAACAATAGGACCAGGAAAGCGAGCGGGGACTGGCGTCCCCTCCTGCGCTTCATTCGCAGGGAGGGGAGGAGTGGCTCGTCAGCCCGCATAAAGGCGAGCGCTGCGCCGAGCCAGGGGAGGAGGACCGCGACGAGGATCGCACTTGTGCTGGGAGCCGTCTGTTCGGGGATGTACGGCGCGTACGGGTCGCGCTTGGGTGGGAGGAGGGCGGGAGGTGGGCGTGGCGCCCAGGCGACGTGAAGGAAGTTGGGAGACGGTGGTCGGCGCGATGGAAGACGTGTGCCACGACGCGCGCGCTCAAGTAGGTACGTGGGTGGGGAATCATCGTCTGGGGGAGAGACGTAGAGCAGCGGGATGGGATGAGGGAGGAGCTCCGGGCGTGGCCCGCGATGAGGAAACATGGCAACTTCAAAGAGCGTGGTCGTAAACAGAGGTTGCGGTTGGAAGCTATATTATCGGTGGTCGATCAACGGTTGTTGGGCGTGTGCTCTTGCTCGAGAACACGGAGGGGAACCGGGGTATGTGGTGAGACACTGGAATAATACGGGCGATAAGCCGCAAAGAAGACCAAGGAGAGTGCCGAGGAGGGGTTAGATGTCGAGAGAACGGTCGCGCAGAGCGCTTAGATATGTAGATGGAGCGAGGGGGACGAGTCTGATGGCGGCCATATGAAGAGAACCGCAGTCACGATGACATGCTTGTATCTCTCCGGGCTCCTCTCACGCCAGTGCTGCCTACTGTGCGCGACCTATACGCCACACGCCCGTGCTGTCCAAGCTACTTGCACGGAGCGCATGATCTCCGGAGGTGCAACCGAACAGCAGCCCAGGTTACAGGGAGTGAACAATTCTGTGGCGTCGATTGCGCCGAGTGCCTGAGAGCCGGTCGGTATCTTGCCCAAAGCTGCAAACTTTGTCGCGTCCTGAGCTCCATGGATACTATGCCCGGTCGATCCTGACCGCTCAAGGCCTCTGCGCCAGTACGCCCGAGGCAAACGCCGCTCCTGACACTCTACGTCTCGACCGCTGTCTCGCGCGTGTTGCATGTCTTGGATCTGGCAAGCCTGATATCTAAGTCTCGGAGTCCGGCATAGGGCCAAGGCCATCATAGGGCCAGTTCGCGGCGTGGCTTCCGTTGGGCAAGCTAGCAAGCCGGTGCCTCCGAGCTTTCCCCGACCACGGCCTTCTTCTCTTCTTTGAGGAGTAGTGATCCATAAGAGAGGTGGTGATTCATACTAGTTTCTGAACTCGGCGTCGACAGAAGAAGATCTGAAGCTGCGCCGACTCATGGCTGACGGCGCCGAGTTCGTTCAATGTAACAAATGCTGAATGTAAATGAGGTGGCCGAAGTCAGAGCATACCAGTCTGGCTGCTGCACATTGCAACATTGCCACAACCGGTGCCACTTGCTCCAACCACGCGCAGCTCTGCTGATTTCCAGGCTCCACCTGCAGAAGTGCACCGTAGCGCAACAGGTCGCGACGGCTCATTGCACAAGCGCCCTGAGCATGCTGGCAATATAGCGGCCTAGTAGTGGTCGTGTGGAGTCTTGTACACCCAAAAGCAGCCGTTCAATTCACTCCCCAACTGCCGATTCATTCGGCACCATTGAGACTGAATAGTAAGACGCCATCCATAATTCATCAGGGTCATTGTCGTGGCAGAGAGCTTGAGCTTGCAACTGTCCAACGTCATCTGTGCCGCGGCGCGGGCTGTCCAGACGGTGCATGGTGCATGGTGTGCATGGATAGTGTGCGGTGGGAAATGGGTGCATTATTAGGCCAAAATGGCCAGACCAGGACTTTCGGACGTTGGATCCTACTGCGGACTGGTGCTTTGGTCGGCGACATCTCCGAGCGGGCAGTTTACTCCCTGAAGGGATGAGGTCAAGCCCAGAAGCTGGGTGAGACATTGGACGCTTGTCAGCGGTTCCAGCAGCCATAAGCATCTCATGATGCCGTTGTCTATTCACATTCAAAGTCTTGGTTGAAGACGGCCTAGGCTTCTGCCACACATGCATTGAAGCTTGTGCAGATCCCTCGGCTCCCACATCGCGGCCGGCGCCACGGACCAGCTGTTCGCTCGCTCTGCGTGGGCCAGTCATGGCGCCTCCGTTCTTATCCGGTCAGGTAAAGCAGCCCGTAGTAAAGCCACACTCCGTCAGCACACCGATGGCGATTGTCCATCGCGGCTTAATCGGCGATGCTGTGTAGCTGCGGCTTGCGTACTTGGCTACGCAGTGTGCATCACGGCCAACATCTGGACCAGATGGGATGGAGTACATACGGAGGGGAGGCATGCACGATGACGCCCCGACCTTTACAAGATCTGGTTGAGATGACAGGGTGGGGGCGGCGCTATTGAGTGTCTGAGACACATCGGAGTAATGAGTGGGCCACAGTCAGTTGCACACGGTCGCCTTACCGGTATCCCACATCTCAGGTGTCGCTTGCAACTCTTCAGGGCATTTGATCTCGTCAGTATCAGAGGACTGATAGCTGCTATGGTGCAGACAGGTTTGTCCGTTAATCTTGGCGGCCACTTGGCGGCCACTTTGGCTGAGCAATCGCCGCAGGATGTACGGCGCAATATGTATATCATGTCGATCATGATCGCCGATACGATATACGTTGATGCTACATGATTATGTCAGGGCTGCACACATGTACAAACACAGCATTCACTTGAGGCTCTCGCAGCTAGGCTGCTCAGTCCTCAGCCTTCTCGTCAGCGTGCAAGCATAGCAAACCGTGTCCGTTGCCGTGGCATGTGTAGCAATACACCTCCGATTCCCATTTGCGAGGAGGCACGAGGAACACGACAAAAATAGGACTGCGCCGACTACGCAGTGAGAGCAATTGCTGCAAAACGTTCGCGGCCGGCCGCGACAGCCGTGCCATCACCCTTATGCAACTTGCACACAGGACACGAGCCGACCCGCACCCGAACCATTGCAGCGAATGAAAGTTTGGCACCGAGCGCCCGCGAGAGCCCGGCCTTGCTTCCGGCCACGTACTTGTCGGCCATAAGGAGATGGGTGACAGCTGCGTTCTCAGGGCGCTCGGGGAGCTCAATGTCCTCGGCGAGCACGGCGCACGTCGCGTGAACAAAATGGTGGCACAAGTAGAGGAGCACGAAGGGCTGCAGTGCCGAGTCAACATGCGGGAAGAGCAACTTCCCGCACACCAGACAATTCGTGGTCGCTGTTGTCAGCTATCATTCCAGATGTGGAACATACCGCTTGCGTGGGCGCCGCCGGTCTGGGCCGCCTGCAGCTCCAGAGCCAGCGCTGAGCAGTCGCGGTTGAGGATTCTCTGGCAGCCCTTCAGCAGCGAGATCTGCAGGTTAGACGCTTGGAGAACCTTCACAAGGGCCGGCTTGAGGCCTGGAATCTCCAGACCCTCTTGAATGCGCTGAATCAAACGGACGGGCTTGATCTCGCTGCCGCCATGCTCAAGCAGCGCGCGGATGAAATCTGGCCGCGTCTTTGAGTGCGTGATGAGCGCTTCCCACAAGTCATCATCACGCTGCTCCTCAGCAAAGTCGATAGCGAGCTGAACGTCCCCAAGTCGCTCAATGATCAGTTTGAGAGCCTTGAGGTTATCCCCCATTCGGCCAAGGAGGAACACTGTCTCGCGCACGTAATCGTGCTTCTCGGTGATACGGAGAGCTCGCTCAAGGTCGTAAAAGTTGCTTGCACGGAGGAAGGGCATGAGACGGGTGTGGTCATATGTGGCGTAAAGCTCAACCTGCCGTGAGTTCACTCCTTGTTCCTTAACTCACCATGCGGTCCGCGTATTGCTGACAAGACTGTGGGTCTTTGTCGAAAAGCGCGTCCAGATACATGTAGAGATACTGTGGCTTGGCATCAAGTTGCTGCACTACACGCTCAACTGGGATCGCAAGCGTGTGGTCCACGAGCAGCTGGATGGCAGCGCCGTGCTTGCCCTCCTTGTCCACATCTCCCTCCCTGAGACGCTCATGATCGAACTCCACAAGAAGCAAGGCTTGTTCCTGCACTGCGTCGAACAAATTGTGTTCACGGATAAGATCGAACACGCCTGGCTTGCGCAGGCGCAGAAAGTAAGGAAGCGCGCGCGCCGGCTGTCCTCGTCGAAGATGTAGCTCGGCCAACACTTCGAGCAGGATGGGATCATCCTTCGACGCATTGAGCTCGCTCTGAACGGCCGAGATGACGTTCGCACTATCGAAAACGTCAACGTGCCACGTCTTAACCATCTCCAACAGAGTCTGGTGTCAGAATGAACGGTAGTAGTGCACGCACAGGCTTGTCCTCTACGAGCAGGTGGCCAAGGACCATCTCGTACACCCCGCTTCGCAGCTGAGGATCCTTGGTCGGGATGTAGGGAATGATGGCCTTAAAGTCAGCTGTTGTTGATAATCCGGTTCTGCTCACCGGTAGCTTCTGCTTCTGAACGAAGGAGTAGATCCACCGCTCCCACAGTGCTCCGTCCGTCTCTAGCACTTTAGGGGCGAGGTGCGCAGCCCGTTCGAAGTCGCCTGATACATCAGCACCCAAATAGACAAACCAAGTCACCTTGTTTAACAAGGTGTTGCATGTACTTGAGGCCGATGGCTTGTACGTCGAGCGCACCTCCGTGCTTCGCCGCCAGTGCTTCCGCAGCGGCGAGGGCCTCTTCGTAACGTTCACGCTCAACAAGCCAGTCAATGTGGTCCGCCTCGTCCCGCTGTCTGACTACGACAAGATCCGACGGAGTAAGTACCAAGAAGACGTCCGCGTCGTCAGGCCGCTTCGATCTCACGATCTTGTAGTCACTGCAGCTATAACGCTCGAAGTTTGCAACAACAAGTTCGTCCGCTGCGATCTCGTCACCGCGGTCGATGATGCGTAGTTCCGGAGGGTTGGCGGCCTTGCGTCGTTGCTGGGCGCGATCCTCGGTCGCCTCGTTCGAATAAGTATCTGGTGGGATATAGGCGAGAACCACATAGCCCGAATCCTGATACTGCTCGATGCCTGCGACCATGCAGTCCATCTCCCACACGGCCGATACCTCAATGCTAAGTGTTGGAAGACCAGATTGGCCCCCTCGGGCCCGCGTGCGTACGCGAACGACCTTGACATAGTTGGCCCAGCCGATGATTAGTGTTCGGTCATCCTTCCACAGGAGGCGGCATTTGAACAGCTCTGGTCGCGGCGCGTTGGCACCGCGGTCAACAAAGCCGATACGTTGGCCCGATGCGCGATCATAGATCTTAACGCCGAGGTCGTTCGCCCATGCAATGAGGTCGCCACGCCATGCGATCGCCCAGATCGGCCCCTCGCCCGAGTGCAAAACTTGCTCGCGATACCCCAGCCAGCCCTTCTCCTGCCAGATGAGGTTCCCCAACATGCCCCCACAGACAAACGCGCGCCCGCTCTTCTTAGCGAAGTTGGGCTCAAGCGCAATGGCGTTCATGGGGCGCTTGTAATCGAATGCGTACGACTCGGTGCTTGTTAGCGAGTGAATGACGACACGCCCTGGTAAGTCAGCTTGGACCAGTAAATCGATCAACCTTCCATGCTCGCTGTGGCCACGAAGTCGTTCTCTTCGTCAAGGCAAATGGACGTCACGTTGGCGGCGTGAGGACGAAACGAGTTGATCTTGGCGCCCTCATAGCTGAGAACATGCACCATGCCCATCATGGTGCCGATCGCCTGGGATGAGCATCATGCTGCGTCTTCCATGCTCACCACAACACGAGGAGAGACGTCAATAGTCGTTGCGCTATCCTTGCCCAAGATCTCGGGTATTCGGTTCTTGACGCGCGTGTACTTGAGCACTCTGCAAGTTAGTGCTGTCGTCCACACTCAACATACGGTTCCTCTTCCTCTTCATCATCGCCTTCCTCCGAGTCCTCCTCCTCCATTGATTCTCCGTCGCGGCCCTCGTCCTCGCCATCGGAGGCAATCGAGGAGCCCTGCGGTTCCTCTATATCTCCCACGTCACTGATACCGGCCAAAGCTACGTCTCCGTTCTCAGCAGGGTGCGAATCTGGCTCCCCAGCTTCGCTTCCGCCATCGTCAAGACCGTTCGAACTCGTTAGGTCCTGATCCGAATTCCCGCTGGAGTCTTCTGCAATGTGGTCGCCCTCCTCGTCGGCGCGAGCTTCTGCTCGATTTACCCCAGTACTGGAGGTGGCACCCGGAGATTCGCTACGGGGAAGTTCAGGGCGGAAGGTGTCGCCGTCCACCTCAGACTCTGTTTCCCCCTCAGAGGTTTGGGAAGTGCGAGAGGGATCGTGTGCAGGAGAGGGCGAACGTGAGGACTCCGCATCTAGGGACTGTGGCGGCTCCGCAGCACCGCCAAACCTTCGAGGCGGCATGGGTGGGGACGGAGTGGTGATGTTGTTGATGTGTCGCGGAGGAGATGATGGTGGGTGTTGATGAAGTCGCCGATGACGATCCGAGCGTTACCGCCGTCATACTGCCACCGTGGGAGAGTTGACGTGTGGAGGTGAGTGGGGCGTCGCACCCGATTTGTTTTGATTTCGAGACTTCCCTCGTTGTCTTCCTCTCATTGACCTCGATCAACCTCCTGCTCAGCATCTCCAGCAAGGGGCACCGTTCATGATGAGGATTTTGACGTGGAACGTCGTGGGTTCTCCTCTCGGCGACTAGCGGAAACACTGACAAGTAGAACGTCCTCCGGACGGTGCTCGATTATCATCCGTTCGTTGAGCTCCCCTCACGACGCCCATTAACGATAGGTTCTCGAGTCTGCCTAATAAGAACGTCGAAGGACTACTTGAAGAGCTCAAGGCTGACATTATCTGCTTCCAAGGTATCATGCTGCCTACCTCTTACGCTAACATAAGAGCACAAGACTCGCCGCCAGCAACTCGACCGAAGCATGGCGTGTCCCGGTCCGTTTGACGCGTTCTGGACTTTTCCTCGAAGCAAACTGGGATACTCTGGCGTGTGTACATACGTCGACTCACGCGTGTGCGTCCCATTACGCGCTGAGGAGGGCATCACCGGGCTTCTTCTCTCCGAGCCCGGCGGCACCATGAAGCCCCCATGGACAGCGGAGGAGAAGATCGGCTGCTATCCCGACATGGATGACGTGCAACTTGACGACGAATTTGACGGCACACCATTCGACCCCCGCTCGCTGGACGTTGAGGGGCGTGCCGTCGTGCTAGATTTCGGGTGAGCGGCGATTACCTACGTACGCTGACCCTCCGCAGACTGTTTGTGCTGTTCAACCTCTATTGTCCCAACGAGACCAACGAACAGCGGCGACCATACAAGATGAACTTCCTTCGCACATTACAAGCGCGTGTGGATGCGCTTGTAGCTGCTGGGCGCGAAGTTATCATCGCGGGTGACATCAATGTCATGCGCGCTCCGCTGGATTCCGGGGAAGGTGGGGTGAAGACAACGGCGGAGCAACACTACGAGCACCCTGCGCGAGTTTGGCTCGACAGCTGGTGTGCGCCAAAGGGCCCAATGGTGGATGTTGTTCGCGAGTCGTGGCCCAACCGCGAGGGCATGTTCACCTGTTGGAACCAAAAGATTGACGCAAGGTGACTTACGCTGCTTAGATGTGGCAGCTGACAGCAGGCCAGCTAATTATGGCTCTCGCATTGACCTCATTCTCTGCACCCCGGGCCTGCGCCCTTGGATCAATGGTGGCGACATTCAGAATAAGGTGTACGGATCGGACCACTGTCCGGTGTACATCGATCTGCATGATTCTATCGATCGCGACGGCCAGACGATATTCATCCGTGATTTGTTGAACCCGGTCAACAGACCACCAAGTACCGGCACGGTCTTTCCATGGGACGAGCCAAGGAGTGCCCCGCAACCTCCGCGTTTTGCTACTAAGTTTATGGAGGAGTTCAGCGCGAAACAACGTACTCTGAAAAGCCTGTGGGCAAATACCAAACCGAAAGTGAAGCCAGTGCAGACGAAGACACAGGAGACGAAGGCGGAGTCGGACCCAGACAGAGAGGAAATACCCCTGGAGCCATCCACTACTATGGGAATCGCTCGCGCCGCATTTGTTGCGCTCGATGCGTCCCCGAGCGTTGCACGGCCAGCATTCATTGATGAGTCTCCTTCAGCGCAAGCGTCAACATCCGCCACGGCGACGCAGACTACGCAGGCTACGCAAGAGGCAGCTTCAGGCACTAGCTCTGCACGGCCTACTCCGGTCAAGCGCACTGAGCCCTCCACAGTTGACCTTACTCAGGACTCACCGCCTGCCAAGAAGATGTCCTTGGGACGGACGAGAAGCACACCGGTTCCGAAAGGCAAACAGAAGAAGGCCTCAACCAACGGACAAGCAAAGTTGGCTGCATTTTGGTCGGTTCCCAAGGCTAAGCCAAAAGCGAAAGAGCCCAGCCCGCCTCGCTTTCCGCAGACCTCCCTCCCCAGCACCCCAAAGCAGGCTTCACAGGTCGGCTCGCTTCTCGGTGAGATGGACGAACCTCCAGATACAGTCCAAGACGAGCTGTTTGCTCAGGCATTGGCGGAGGAAGATGCAGAAGTGGAGGCTGAGCGAGCACGAGAACGGGAGGCGCGCAATCAAGCAGCAGGGTCCCAGTGGGCGAGCATGTTCGCCCCGAAGAAGGCTCCATTGTGCACTGTTCATCAACATCCTTGCAAGGACTTCAGTGAGGGGTGACGGGAGACCACGCATTGCTGACAGCAGTTGTAAAGGTTCAGGGCCCCAATAAGGGGAAGCGTTTCTGGCTGTGTTCGAAGTGAGCCCAGAACGTTAACCGCCCTCTTCTTGCTGACCTTAGACCGGTGGGCCCGGGATACGACATGGGCCGGTCGAAACGGCCACGTGAGGACGTGGATCCCCGGTATCGGTGCAACTTGTAAGCCAGCAGTTTGTTCGACTGCTTACCCCAGCTTCCTATGGGACTCTGCGAATTCGCAGCGGGAAGTGCCCCGGCGACTGGGAGGGGGTAGCAGCATCAGCGCAGGTGGCACGAACGATCCAGGCGTATGAGTTGCAAGACGTCTACCTGCATTTGTACAAGTATCTCGTTGTCACTTCACACGTACATCAAGCATGAGAGTACGGACCTCTATCCATCTCAAGTCAGCGGAAATGAAAGGGGGCCTGAGGTCCACGCGTAGATGAGGCTTCGAATGCATGGACGGGCTTCTCCATCGATCGGTTTGCCGCCCGCCCTCGCTTGTTGCTATTGGAGGTTCGTTAAGGACTGTGCCAAGCATTCATGGCCACGCCCGAGTAGTGCAAGGCTGCAGAAAGCGCCGCAACAACGAAAGGCCTCGAGTGTATTTTGTGAGTAGCAAAGCATGAGTCGTGGCTGCCCATATGCCCATGCCTCCGAACGCCGAAGAATGGAAGAATGGAGGATCGGAGGAGCACATGTCGGCTTAAGAATGACGTAGGCCGAGGCACGCCCGCACGTTCCACCGTAGTTTGACCCCGCGCCACCCTCATCGTCCATCTTCCCCTCCTCATCCGTCCGCCTCGACTCTCCTCGATCTCCTCACCTCTCTCACCTCCCTCACCTCCCTCCTGTCTTCTTGAGTCATGTCCAAGTATGGAGGCTACATGCGCACAGCGCAAGGCCTCATGAGTGCCTTATCTGGCGAGAAGCCTCACTCGTCCATCACCGACTGGATCGAGGTCCTCTCCTCTGACCGGTATGACGAGGGCTCCCTCGACGGCATTCCCGAGCTTGTCGACAGCGTCAACCTCCAAGGGCCTCAAGGAACGACCGAGGCGGCCCGCGCCATCCGCAAGAAGCTCAAGTACGGCAACACGCACCGACAGGTCCGCGCACTCGTCATCCTGCGCGCCCTCACCGAGAACGCGGGGCCAGGCTTCAAACTCAACTGGGCCAACCAGCAGATCATGGAGCGACTTCGCGACATGGCCACTGACGTGAGTCTAGCAGCTATGAGCCTACAGACCGAGACGAGGGACTTGAGGGGGGGATGCAACAGCCATCCGATGCGTGCGCCCTGTGCGCAGGCCAGCTGCCTGCACACATCGCATTCCGCAGCTGGTGCCTCTGACGCCACATGCTTGAGCATGTTGACCGTGGCTATCTATCAACACAGAGAAGACGCTCGTCGCTTCGGGATAGAGAGAGGCTATGCGAACAGGCGGAAGTACTGCTCCAGGCGGGGCGGCTGGGAGGCCTCGGGCCTGCCCTCTGAGCGCGCAGGCATCTTTCCGGGTCGGGGGTCGTCTTCGGCAGGCTCGAGGAAGACGTACCAAAGGAGAGCGTCACAAACTGCAGTACTGTGCAGGCGTGCAAAGGGCGCATTAGCCACAACAAGTTTACGAACCTTCTGCTCTGCGACCTCTTCAGCCAGTGAAACAATCGCTAACGCCAGAGCCTCCTCGACCCAAAAGTCAAGAAGAGACTCATCCTCGTCTTCCACGCCTGGTCGATCCAGTACGCCGATGAGCCGCGAATGTCAGCTGTAGCCGGCCTTTGGAAGCAGTACGCAGGCGTTGCAGCTGGGGCTCGCCGAGCACCGCCCGCACGCCCAACAGGTGGAGGCGTGTCGTCGAGCCCACCCCAGGCAAACGCTGGCAAAGGATTCTCGTCGTCTGATCCGTTCTACGATCACTCGTGGGAGCCAGCGGCAGGTCAGCGTGGCAAGGACACATATGCGGACTTGGACAGCGCGCGGGCCGACGCCGAAGAGCGCAAGCGCGAGCGCGAGCAGCGCATGGCGCTGGAGCGCCGCGAGGCGGAGATCGAGCGCCGCGAGCGCGAAGTGAAACGCAAGCAGGAGGTGAGTACTGACTGGCGTGCAAGTCCTCCTCCACTTCCGACCCCACGTTCCAAGTATCAACATGAGTCAAGCTCCTCCGTTGTTTCCCTTCTCTACATCCTCAATCATCCATATCCGAACCCGGTGGGGGGCTGGTGGGCGGTGGCGGGCATCGAGCTCGGCTAATGGCAGATGGCGCAGGTTGAGGCCCGTCGTCGGGCTGAGGCAGAGCAAGAAGCCGAGCGGCGGCGCAAGGCCAAGGAAGAGCGCAAGTCCGCCAAGCACGCGCCCAAGAGACCCAAGTTCAACTTTGAGAAGGAGAAGCCTCAGGTGCTGTCGTCGGTCGCCAACGCCAACCTCGCGGCGTCCAATCTTGTCAACTCGATCCGCCTACTCAATCGTGAGGTTGAGAACGTGACCGAGAGCCCACGCGTCCAGGACTGCCTCGACAAGGCCAAGGCCGCGCGCCGCGCCGTGGTCAAGTACATCCAAGTTGTGACGGATGAAGAGTTCCTCGGCACGTTGCTTGAAGCAAACGAGAGAATTGTCACGGCCATCCAGCTCTACGACAAGATGAGCAAACCCGCGGCGCTCGACTCGGACTCGGACGACGAGGAGTCAAAGCGGTATGGCGACGAGTCGGCGCAAGTCGAGCGCATCCGGCAGCGCCTCCAGGCTCAGAAACTCGAGAGCCAGCGTACCGGCGAGATCGAGAGCATGCAGGAAGCGCAGAAGGCCGAGAGCCAGCGGCGCCAGGCCCGCGCCGCTCGCCGCGGCAACTCTGGCACGGAGGCGGACCGGTCTGGACGCAGCGCCATTGACGACCTCGCCGGCCTGGATCTTAGCGCGCGGAATCCCAACCTTCCGCGTCCGATCCAGCCCGACCCGGAGCGCTCGAGCATGGGGCGGGGGTGAGTTTTACGTGCACTTCTCAGCTGACAGCAAGTTCGCTTTCTGACTTCTCGGACTACGATTCCAGTGACGAGGACTGGCGCGCAAGTCACTCGCGCCAGAGTAGCCGCCAGGAGGCTGGACCCAGCCGTGGCAATCGCGGCCAGATCTACCGCGGCGACAGCTTCGACCCATACGCGCCGTCTGACGACGGTGGCTACGCGGCGCTGGAGGATGAGGGAGGCAAGGACCGCCTGCTTGAAGACCCATTCGGGGACCCGTTCGGTGACGACCAGGCTACGACGCCGAGGAATGAGAAGCAGCGCATGGAGTGTGAGTAGCAGGGAGCAACAGCTCGGTTTCTGGCGGCAGCCGCTGATGACAGGGACCGCGATCTAAACACTAGTCCCGTGCTACGACGTTCACGCCCTATACCCACTGGTTGCAGTCATTAATTTTCTAGGTATCGTGCGGTTGCAGAGAGCAGTACAGAATACAGATGCAGTGATGATCTCGCCACGTGTAAGTGGCCGAGCTATGGAGCTTCTAATGCTTGGGTGGTGATTGCCGGCTCTCGAGCGCATCGGCCCCACGGCGGAGGGCAACTTTCACGCCCTCTGCAACGGCATCACCCGCCGCCCGGCCAATGCTCCGCACTATGCCGAGCGCGTCCGTCGCATCGGCAAGGAAACCTGGAAGACCACCGGCGCCACCAGTGAGACGGTCAGAAGCATGCGACCGCCCAAACACGCGGTCTTTCTCAGTGCGCGCGCGGCTGTTTCCGCTGCCTGCGTTGGCCATGAAGAAATCCTTGATAGGTCCCAGCTCGTTGAAGACCTCAAGGCCGGTCCCGCGCGCCCAGTTGATGAGGGGCGAGCGACTGCCGAAGATCCAGTTGAGCTTGTCGACCGCGGCGAGCATCACGTGGTTTGGGAGGTACCGGCCGCGGGGGTATGGCGCGAGTGCGGTGATGGATCCGAGGTCGGCACCGACGCGGCGGGCGTCGGCCAGCGTCGACGCCAGGACTCGGGCGTCGGCCAAGCCGGCATTCAAGCCCTGGCCTGCGAGTGGGTGGGTGGTGTGCGCGGCGTCGCCGACGAGCGCGAGGCGGTGGGCCGTGTACGCGTCGGCATGAGCCAGGCGGAGAGGGAAGGAGGCGACTGATTTGGGGTCCACGGACGTGATGGTAGGCGGCAGCGGTGCTTCGCTCGGCATGGCGCCCTCACACGCGCCCAGGAGCCCCGCGATCGCGTCGCGCGTGAGCGGGGTACCTGCGCCGTCGGCGGCCAGCAGTGCCTCGTTGACGACCGCAAGATCCGCCTCGGGGAGGTTCCACCCTGCGTTGATCATGAGCGTTAGGGCGTCCGGCGCAAGACGCTTCAATGCTGCGGCGAGCTCTGGAGTCGTGCTCCACACCATGGTACTCGCGTCGTCGGCGAGCGGGAGGAAAGCGAGCGGTCCAGTCGGGAGGAAACGCTGGAATGCCGTGTGGTTCGGCCACACCGCTGGGGGAAGGTGCGACATCGTTGCAACCACACCATGGGCATTGTACGCATGCCCAAACGTGTCGATCTCGGCAAACTGGCGAACGGGCGAGTTGGGCCCGTCGGCACCGACCTGCTGTTAGCTCTGCGATCAAGAAGAGCTTCGTTGACCTCTGAACAGTAGAGGTTTAATGCTACTCACCACCAGACTTCCCCGCACCCACTCGTCACCCATCCGCAGCCCGACCCATCCCCTTCCCTCGCCATAGCGCATCTCGCCGACGCGCGCGCCCTCCCGCACCGTTACGTTGGCGCCGACCTCTTCGAGGCGGCGAAGGAGTGCGCGCTGCGTGTTGACGTTCTCGGTCATCCGGGCAAGCGGGGCATCCTGTGGTGGGAAGTGGAGCATGGGGTGTGAGTCGGGGTCGGGGTTGGCGAAGACGATGATGTCGTCAACAGCCCGCGAGCGCGGAAGTGCGATGTGCTTCCAAGCCCCGATCTCCTGCAGCCACTCGATGTTTTCGGCAGTGAGGGAGGACACGCGGTTCGACCACGGCCCACCGTCGTCCCAGTTGCGTACCGGTGCAAGGCTGCCTCCCTCCAGCAGGAGGATGCGAGCGTCTTGCAGTGCGCCGTGCGACACTGTTGTCAGTTCTATCGCATAATCATGCCTCACCCATCGCAGTCGCTAGCGCGAGACCCGCCGGACCACCACCAATGATCACAATATCGTACGTGTTGTCTGGCGAGATCTCCGGGATAGGCGCTGGCGGGGGAACAGGCTGCGTCGAGTGAGAGCGCGTGGGAGAGGAGAATGGTGCGGAAGAAGGAGCCACAGCCACACGCTTGGCCAAGCGCCCCATCACAACGGCCGGGCGAAAGGCTGCAACGAACCGCGCGGACCTGGCTGCATGCCTCAAGGAAATTGCTGAGCGCATGATGCAAGTGAGGTAGAGGTGGTCGAGTTGAGATGTGTTCGAGAATTATGGGAGAAGTCGGACTCCACCGTATGAAACAACCTCCACATGTGTCACGTGAGTACGACCACGTGTCCATAAGACAGGCGCGTGTCAGGTTGAATAGGCGCCCCAAACCCTCATTCCGATGAGGATACCCCCACCTACACTTGGACTTCGCCTGGGTTTGTTGACAATACTCTCCAACTCCTCCATCGTCTCCAGCTCGACGTTTCTCCACGTCCCTCATTTCTCCCAACATGTCGGGAAACGAGCGTGTACGAGTGAGATACATCACAAGCTTTAGTCCCACCTCTCTAATCGCAGGGTATCCAGGTGCACCGGCCGATCATTTATGGGTCGCAGGCGAGGCTGTTGACCGACGAGGAGCGCGCGTTGGCACCCCCTGGACGTGAGTAGCCAGATGTTAGGGCCAGGCGCTGGCACTTGTCGCTTTGAAGGAGATATATGGCGCTGGATGTCTAACACTGCCGCCTGCTCTGCGAGCTCCGCGAGGACTGCCATTACCGCTGCAGCAGAGCCATCGGACTACCTACAGTGATTTGGCGCTTACCACAGACACACATCGCTGGACCGTCTTCCTTACTTCCGCGGCGACCCCTGTTCCGACCAAGACGGGCCAGTCGTCCACCGATGTCGCGCCAGTGGAGATGGACAAGGACTACCTTCCGGGCGGCGCAGACGACATGACGTATATGATCAAGCGTGTCGTTTTTCGCCTTCATGAAACATATCCAAATCCCAATAGGAGTGAGTAACCGCGTCGGATCTACGCGCTGACGTCCACAGTGTGCGAGAAGCCGCCGTACAAGGTTACTGAGACTGGGTGGGGCGAGTTCACCGTCAACATCAAGGTGACATTCGTGCCAGAGGCGTCGGAGAAGGCGCTCTCACTGCAACACCCGATCAAATTGCATCACTGGGGAGAGCCCATCGAGCCGCAAGCGCCACAAGCCGAGGCGACGTCCTTGCAGACGCCGAAAGAAGGTGCCAGCACAAAGGCTGAGGTCCAGTCGCCCAAGCCTGAAGCCGAGGCAGACGACTCTCTCGCCCCGACTGAGGCATCAGTGACTGAAGATGCCACCCCAGCTGAGGCAACAACCGGCGTTGCGACCCCCGCCGAGCCAGTTATCATCAACCCATACGCTACGTCTGTGGGCAACTACCCTGTCCACGCTTGGCAGTACGATGAGATTGTCTTCTCGGATCCGCCGGCCAACTTCCTCGCACTGTTGGAGCAGCACACGCCAACACCGCTACCATCCCGACCCCGTCGCCCGCGCGATCAGCGTGAGGAGCATGAGCTCAAAACCGGCAAGAAGCGTGTCAAGCCCTCTGCAGCGCGGACGGGAAACACGTCGCGCGCAGGAACTGAAGCCCCCGACGGCGTGACAACTCGCGCGGGAACGCCGGCGTCTGTCGCTACTCCCACTCCAGGACAGCCGCCGGTCATAGGCGTGGCGGGAGAGCTGGGCAGTGCAGATGTGCCCCTTGAGTTCTCGACTGACATGGAGAAGGCGGAGCTCAACCGTCTCACCGAGACGCGTGTGAAGATCGTGCGCGAGATGGACAGATGGCGAGAAAAGTTGATCGCCCAAGAGAAGGAGCTCGCCAAACTCAAAGAGGAGTTGAAGAGCTCCAGAGGGATACTATAGGCGCACAAAGATGTGAGGAGGCAGATCGCTGTTGTACCAATGCATAGAGTAGAAGTAAGCTGCAGTACGACCATTCACAGAGCAAAGCAGCCTACAGTGCTTGACAGTCGAAACCCCACCCTCCTTCCGCCATCTTGCTTTGCAACATTTGAATCAGGGAGTCACAGCGCTCCAGCGCCCTCCTCACACCTGCAGTATCAAGTGGTGCATGCAATGTCTCCTCTACGCGCCCGAATGCGCTCGGCCGCTTATATCCTGTACCCGCCGGCGGGCTTGGCCGCGTCGTGCAGTGCGCTCCAGATGCCACGCGCTGCTTCGTTGCCGGGGCCTGCCTCCAGCGTCGCGTTCTTCAGTGGCTTGAGCTTGGCGCCCGATGCGTTGAGCAGCAGCTCCACCTTCTTGGCCACCTGGTTCGCCTCGAGCTTGTTGACGCAAATGACCTTGTCACGACCGTTGACTAGAGTCAGCGAACCACCACATAGACGACGGCCCCGCGAGGGACATGGCGTGCGGCAGAAGAGAAGGCGACAGCAGCTGCCCGTGTTTCCTTCCTCCATGCATGCGCACTTACCATAGTGTCCGCGGATGACGGCGGCCGTCCCGCGCTTCTGCTTGCGCACAACGACCTCGACATCGGGGTTCTCGCGCGCCAGCTCAACTAGCGGCTTCTGGAGATATGTCCTGGGCGTTAGCTACGTCCAAGACGCATGTAAAACGCCGAGCATCTCCCGCTGGGCAGGCTCGCTGCCCATCGTGATCTGCGCGTAACACCTACCTCATGCCGGCCTGTGCGGGAGACTCCGCATCGTAGTCGAAGATGAGCTTGCGGAGGGGCGTAAGGAAGTGCTGGTAGCCGGTGACGGGGAGGGAGCGGGGAAAGCCCTTGCGGAGGGGCTCAAGAGCGGCCTTGTGGACCATGGTGTTCGGCGATGGGAATGAGAGAGAGGTCGTCGTTGCTATCAAAGTGATCGTCGCCGGGGGAAAAGTCGCGCGCCGAGATTTCGAAATTGCTTCCGCTCCTCCACTCCTCTGGAGCTGGAGTCTCCATCGTCTGTTGTTGCTCATGATCTCTCTCCTCCACACTTCATCCACTCACAATGCCTCTTCCAAAGACGATTGCCGAACCGTACGAGCATGACGCCCTCGTGCTCCTTCCTGTTTCGGATCCGCTTCCTGCATCCCCTGCCGCGCAGGTGAGCGCCCTCGCAAGTGCACTGGAAGAACACCTTTCTGGTAACGACGCCCCTCCACTTGTCCCAATTACGGGGAGTATGCGCACGGCGCAGCGCAACGCACAGTCTATGCAGAACGCGTCACGACTCGGTGCTGCACAGGCGCGCGTGCAGCTCAACGAGGCGGATGTGGGCCTCCAGACTGCCGAGTATGAACTTGCCCGCGTGCGGGAGGAGATGGCAGTGTGTCGCGCCTACGAGTGAGTCTACAAGCAAGCGCCGTGGACACGTAGAGCTAACAGCAGGCCGATGTACGAGACGATTCCGATGCAGTCCGAGACCGATTTCATCGCGTCGGCCAGTGTCGATTCTCTCGCCAATCTTCGTACGAGCGGGTGACCCAGAGTGTAGCTGACCACAGCCTCTGATGACGACCCCATGGCGCGCAAGTACGGTATTCTGCTCGCGCGCCTTGAGGCTGAGCTCGGATTTGTTCAGGCACAGGAGAAGAGGATCGCCGAGCTCACGGCGCAGCGCGACGAGCTCGTCCGCTCGCGCCGCGAGATTGCGAAGAAGGCGGACGCAGTGGATGTATTGCTTGCGGATTACAGCAAGGTGAGTCACACGATGCTGAAGCGGCGTAGCTGACAGCAGACGAGTGCTGCTATGGCATCTAAGATCCGGGAAGTTGTACGTGCGGCGGAGAAGAACTAGGAGAGAGGAGAAGAGAGGACGCAGCAATACATACCGCCACTCGAGGGGCAAACGGGAGCAGAGTAACTGTCATTCACACCTCGCAATCGAGCGATACCCAGCATGCACAATATTCCCACAGGTAACTCATTGATCCGCACCGCACGCGTCACTTCCGAATTGGGGCCGTGCGACGTGCGAGCCGCAGTCGAGTGCGCCTACACGGGCACCCACACGCGTCGCGCCCCTCTCCTATCTCCTATAAATTACTCCACCTCATCGTACTATCCTGCTTCTGATCTTCACTTTCTACATCAACTCTCAACGCCTGGATCATGTACAACGATACCCCTGGTGCTTATTGGAAAATCGATGTAAGCGTCGCAACAGGCTACCGTCGGGGAGTAAGTTCGGATTACCATTACCGCTGTTGCCAAGGAGGCCTCCGCTAATGTAGTAGAGCCGCATGTGGGCCGAAATTTGTGTGAAGCACCCCAGTCTGTACAGCAAGGTACACAAGCAGATCGAAAACAAGACTTTGCTTATCGGTGAAACGAACGCTTCCAGTAAGAACCATTGTCTGTAGGGCTCATGGCAGAACGCTTGGCCACTCGTCAAAGCTGTTTCCTTGGGAAGTGTGAGGGCGTAGGCTGTTGGGTCCTTTTCAGTCCCAGCGCTGCGACGCCGCACAGTGAGAGAAGTTATCGGGGTGGCATCGTCTCAGAGTGAGGGCGGGAACAAGCATGCTGCAAGGCGGACGACTGACATCACAGCTGCTTTCGTTGTATGACCAACGGTAACCGCTGTCCTCTGCGGCTTCTTGACCCGGTTCTAGCCAAACGCAAACGCGAGATCAAGGAGGACGAAGAGACAGAGAAAAGCGAGACAGACATGGAGTACGACCGGCACAATGAGAGGACGGATGGCACCGTGACAGTGTCCAATACTACAGCGCAGAGCAACTATGGCGAGGAGAACGACTGTGACGAGAAGTGCGACTGTGACGAGGAGGATGACACTAGTGATGAGGAGTATGACAGTGATGAGGAGAATGGCAGTGACGCAGCGATTGACGCGAGCAAGACCGACGACTCCCGCAAGGGGGCCGACTCGCACACACGGGATGTCTCTAAGAGGGGGGGCTGCGAAAAGGACGACAGTCCCGTTCAGAGAAACTCGCTCGAGGCTACTGGCGCCGTCCCAAGGATAGTGAGTCTTATCACTTTGTCACTAGCGTCTCTAACCATAGGACCCTGCCGACGCAAACAACCGGCAGGCTAGCGCCCGCGGCGTTTCGCGCAAGACTATCCTGACCCTCCACGACCGACTGCTAGCGGATGCGCGTCGCATGCTGGATCAGCCTGACCATCGCCTGTGGGAGGCTAGTGAGGTGGTGTACACGGCCGCTGAAGCCCTCCGGGGCCTCCAAGCTCACGTCAATCTCGAGGACAGCCTCACCGTGTACGATAGTCTGCTTACGCGCGCGCGCAACATGATCGAGCTTCACCCCTACGCCAGCAATGCTCTCTATACCGCGGGAAAGGGTGTCCGTGATGTACGTCGGTGCGAAAGATGTGACTGACGGAAGGTACTCAGTGCAAGCCCCGAATTCCAATGCCCGCGAGACACTTAGAACGTGGACCGGTCGTAGAGCCAGCTGCCAACGTCCTGCCCACGGTCACCTACCTCGCTTCATAAGGTCACTAAAACATGTGTACTGCAAAACTCCTACTCTGTACATTGGTCTAGGTCGCTGGGAGTGTAAGAGCGTGGGGTTTATTGCGCGGCAGATTATCCATGTGCTTACCACGCCAAGAGTTGATCAGAGGGAAGATCACTGTTACGACGTGTCTCAGCGGACTGGCGGCTCGTCCTCCTGCTTCTCCTAATACCCGTTTTTTTAAACGAGCGAGGCGGGCGCAGAATGCCAAGTCCAGCTAGTAGCCGCGGGAGATTTCAAGTGAGCCACCTCTGGGATGATGCGAAGCGGTAGCTGCTACCGAGCAGCCATAGCCAAATAGCCAAGTACATTACACCGACTGCTTTGAATGAGGCATCTCTCGATTCTTCACGATCTTCGCCCATGCCCACGAGCGAAGTTGGCGGAATGAGCTCCCTGCTCAACGGTCGCTTAGCCGTAAACTGGTAATTCTCCAGCTGCCTCGGGGAAGTGTGACCTTCGATATGCATGACCTAGACGCTACTCTGAACTTGAGGACGTGGGCCGGCGCGAAGAAGGGAGCCGAGCATTGAACGATGCATGCTGAGTTGAGGGCATGCACGGGGCACACTATCAAACTCGTTCAATACAGACCCCGGATGTGACGATCCGACCGACTGTCAGGGCCCGTCGTGCGGGTTGACGGGACCGGCGGAGTACGAGGTCTGAACAGGAAGCGGAGACAGGGAAGGGAGGTCATAGGGGGGTTGACCGGTACTGGTGTTCAGGCAACCCTTGGAGGAACAGTGGAATCACAAGGATAACAGAATCGACACAGGTGACTGGTCCGGCTACAAGTCTTATATAGGCAACTATAGGTGGGGGCCCGATTGGTCGGCCGAGTGTTGGACGAGTAGGTCGACCGACGGTTGTCGCAAGGTCGAGGAGTCGACCGAGGCGGTCAGCCCGTTGGTCGACAGACGAGGTGGACTGTATGTCCGACGAGGGTCGACGTAGGTCGACCCGGCTTCCGAGCGGGGTGGTCGGACGAGTATTGGTCGAGCGGGAGAGTGGAGGTAGAGGAGATACGGGTGATCTCCGTGTGTGCGGTTATGGACATACAGGGATCTCCGCTAAAGGTCATGGGTCGGTAGACCGGGCCATGACACGAACCGTAGTTGTCCACTTCACGTCGTCCCACCCCTTCCCTCTCACAACTTCTCCAACGTCAACGTTGCCGAGGCTGCCGACGACATTGCTGCCGCGGACGAGCCTGAGGCCGATATCCCTCCTGCTGGGCTCCTGGGTCAAGCAGCCAACAACCCCATCGTCCTCACAGACAACGAAGAGACGGTTGAGCCCAAGCACAAGAAGGCGAAGTATCATGCTGACCCTGCCTTGCACCTACCCGCCAACTACCTACTCGAGTGGAGTGTGCCTCGTGAGGGTGAGGTAGAGGTCAAGATTGTTCAGAAGGGCTGTGATGGTCGATCAGTAAGTTGTGTCATGCCCTGTGCTGTTTGGAAAGGTGGAGGCTGGGGAGTGGTTGAGCACAAAGGTGTCCGTACACCAGATGCCACTCCACCATCCCGATGACTTGAAGTCGATAACTGTGATATGTGTGCAATAGGACTATGATACTATGATGGGATGAGAATATGACAAGTATCAAGAGTTGGGGGAAATGATCCTAGACGTCGCCGTATATGTGACGATGTGATGTGAGCGGTACCGACATAGGTACTGCTCAGTACCGATGACATTATGAACTGTGGAGCATCCTGTGATCATAATGTGTGGTTATCACATGGTGGATGCATGGTTGGACAAGTGTAGTCGGTGTTTGGAGGTCATTGTCAGTCGGATCATCACACAGGGTCTGTACATGAAGGCACGTCCAGCCTGGATGGACCACAATTTCGACTCGTCCACAAATACCTTGGACGCCCCTCAAAAGGAGTCGGACATGCCATATTGTCGCCAATGAACGCCGTAGGATAGCGGTAGGGTAGAGCCAACGAGGATCCCCGTAATGTTCCCGGTGCCCGTCCCCGTAGCAGGTCGCGGGGGGCGGCGTTCGATCCCTTGGGGGAGCCTGCTCCCAGGGTGAAAAGCCTGGTGGGTACTTCGGACAGGTCGCCAGCCTGTCTGCAGTAGATAAAGGGGCCGCCTGGCAAGCGGCCTCCCAAAGTACCTCGGTACACCCACTTGCTTTTGACCTCTGCTACATTTGTCTTTTGCGTGCGGCAGCGCGACAGTCCGCTTTGTATTTTGATCGGGCTGCGGGCTGAAGTGGCGGAGCTGCTGGACAGGGGCGAGGGGTGAAGGGCAATGCGGCGCAGCGAGGTACACAATTGACTTTGCTCACACTAGACTCGGGAAACGCTCAGCATACCTGGATAAGATGGGGCGCCACCAGCAGTTACCTCGAAGCCAGATTGCCTCGCCAGTAACAGGTACCGCTCGAGGCCGGCAACCCCCTCCTCATCCACACCAGTGGTGAAACGGTATCATGCGTCGTTGCCATCGACGCGGCGGGGGTTCGACTCCCTCCTGGTGTACACGTTGTCGAGCAATCTCTTTTGGAAGCCGCGGGATAGGCAGCGTTTTGGAGCTCTCGGGTCGTGATGTCCTCTTGAAGAAGGCAAGTCACTTTCACACAGATTCGAAAGGCGCCCTCTCAATGTGGCGGTGTTTAGTCCCATGGTCCCACCCTCCGCCCCGCTGGCCTCCCCTCAATCTCCACAAGCTCCTCGTTCACACCATCGCTCACGAAAATCTCATGGACACTACACTTGTGCGTCTACCGTCTACATACTGCACTTCGCCCGTGGTAGGGCGACCTTTTCACGACTCGCTGCGGTGCTCTCGGGCACGCTCATGCTCCTCGCGCTACGCGCCATACCCGTACCCTCCTCGTCTGGGCGATGCGCCGCCCTGCGGCGGTGCGAAGGGATTGCTGCGCTGCGCCGTCGCGGACGAATTGTACGGCCCGGAGAAGGACGACCGCGCGGCATGGCCGGGCGTGAAGGGGCCGTAGGCGCCCTGCGCCTGCGTCGGCTGGAGGGGCGTGTACATGAGCCCGCTCATTGTGTCGCGCGTGTCAAACGCGTCAAACGTCGCCGAGTTGGGCTGGCTCGTGGCCGCGGGGGGCGGGTATGTGGGCAGATATGCGCCGCCGGCAGCTGATGACGCGCCGCTGTGCGCGGGGTCGTACTCGTTCGTCGCGTGCAGCTGGAGGGGCGGGACACGGCCGCGGTAATCGTGTGTGCCGATCGGCGGCTGCATCTGGTACGCCTGCGTGCCAGAGAAGGACTGTGTGCCTCTATGATGCCCGCCGAGGGACGCGAGTCCGCCGGCCGTAGTGCCGGCTGAAGCGCTCGGATGATGGGCGTGGTGCCCCTGATACTGCCCAGGCATCACGTAACCCTGCTGCGACATGTTGACGAGTTCGGCCTGCTCCTGCAGGTACTCGAGCTGCGCGTACGTCTGGTGCTGCAGGTTGCTCGGCTTGTGTCCGCCCTGCTGCCTCCGCTCCCAGGCCTCGGCCATGTCTTCGCGATGGAGTACGGGCGTCAGCGACGAGCGGTTGCTCGGGTCGGGCGCGCCCAGATTTGTGAGGCGCGCCAGGGCAGGTGGAATCGTGTCCATCTGGTTTATCGTGTTTGCCCGGTTGCGCGAACCGGGGAAGTACGAGTTGGGAGGCGGGTTGGTCGGAGCGTTGATGGTGGGAATGCTTGGACGCGCGTGCTGGTTGCTTGACGTTCCGCTGGGGACTCTGGGGTGGTATGGCTGTGGCGGCTGCGGCTGGCCCTGGTGCTGCCATGTCGTCGGCGGGTTGTGCTGGCTTGACACACGAGGCTTGCCGGCATACTGCTGCTGTTGCTGTTGTTGTTGTTGTTGCTGCTGCTGCTGCTGCTGTGCCTGTTGCTGTGCCTGCGCCTGCTGTTGCGCTTGCTGCTGCGCCTGCTGTTGCGCTTGTGCCGAGTCATAAGTAGTGCTTGGCCCAAACGGCCCCTGCCGTGCCGCGGTTTGGGCAGCCTGCGCCTGAGCCTGAGCCTGAGCTGTCTGGTATTGATGCTGCGCCAGCTGGTGGTTGTATGCCGCGGCATCAGAGTAGACGCGCTGGCCACGTCCAGACGCTGGGCTTTGTACCAGACCTCCGTACTTCTTCGAGCTCGGGGTTGTCGGTGCCGCGCTTGCGTTGGCCGTGGATGTGGAGGGAGCCGCGGTACTCGGCGTCGAGCGCTTGGCCGGCGCAGTTGGGGGCTGCTGTCAGTCGAGCTCGGGAGCAGATCGCTCATAGCACACACCTCAAATGGCCCCGTGTACTTCTCGCCAGTAATGAACGGGTGTTTGGCCGCTTGCTGCGGCGACCACCGCTTGATGGGGTCGAGATTGAGCAGTCCCTCGACAAAGTTGATGAATGCGCGCCGCTGCCCCATTTCTGCGGTCAGCCCTGTTTTGCATCCACGCTCACCCTTGTCAATGTCCGACTGCTTGGCGTTCTTCTTCGTATACGGATACTCCATGATGATGTCGCGCAGCTGCGTCTGCTTGAAATACTGTTTGCTCGCTTGCTCCTTGGTCCGGTGCTCAGAGGCGTACTGCTCCATCGGCTTGAGCTTGTACTGCTTGCGGCCGTGCGCATCGACGCTGACACAGTTGAAGAAGTCGTTTGTCTGCTTGCCCATCTCGAGCTGGTGCTGCGGCGGCAGGCCGAGCATGTCCACGATGCGTGAGACCTGGTTGTACTCGCTAGTACCCGGGAAGATGGGCAAGCCGAGGAAGAGTTCGACTACGATGCAGCCGAGCGACCACATGTCGATCGAAGTGGAGTAAGGAAGGCCAAGTAGCACTTCGGGCGATCGGTAGAAGCGAGACTGAATGTACGTGTACACCGTCTGCAGCTCATGACACGCCGAGCCAAAGTCAATGACCTTGATTTGGGGTGATTGCAAGCTATTGTTAGTGGTAGTATGGTAACAAGACTTACGATTTCAGCAAAATGTTCTCCGGCTTGAGATCGCAGTGGATTAATCGCGCATCCTTGAGCACGGCAAGACAGTCGAGGAGCTGCTGCGTGAAGACGCGCACGAGCTGCAAGCTCAACCCCTTAAACTGGTTCTGCTTGATGAGCTCGTAGAGATTGGACGACAGGCATTCGAACACGAGGCACAAATGGTTCTTGTGCGTGAAGGAATCGAGCAGCCGCAAGATGTGGTGCTCGTCATGTGGGTCGTGGTCACGGTTGAGCTGGTATCAGCGGTTGGCCCGGGGGGGGGGTAAACTCACCAAGTTCAAGATTGCAACCTCCATCTTGCTCTGGTTCAAGTAGGCCGGCTTGTTCTTGACGACCTTGACAGCACAGATGGCATGCGTCCTCATGTTCTGGCACTTGACCACCTGGCCGAACGTGCCCTGCCCGAGGACATCGAGGATGAGGTATCTAGTGTCAGACACGCCAACGTGGAAGATAAGGGCGAAGTGATGTAACACAAAAGGAATGGAGTGATAGGCGATGAAGAGAAGCACGACAGCTATCTGTCTACCGAGGTTCACTCACCGATCGCCCCCGTGCTCGCCGCCCAGCACGTCGTTGACGTAGAGAATGTAGTCCCAGTCCTCGTTGTCCGCGCCGTCGTTGTACACGGGCTTGCTCGGCTTCGTGAGGACACGGCGTGGGTTGTCCGAGCTCTCGTACTTGAACGTTGGGTTGCAGAGGGAGTAGGTCTGGGGAAGTGCAGCGGTGAGACACTTGAGGGGCTTGGATTAGTCAACTCGACAAGGGGGTGCTCACAGAAAGGTATGCGCCGGGCACGTCGGGGTCGGCGCGGCGGCCCTGTGGGTGCGCGTTAATGCGAGGTTTGAGGTCATCCCAGCCGCGCACCGTTCGGAAGCCCTGGCGGCTCGGCGTCTCGCGCGATGAGCTGCGCGAGGACTCGTATCGCGGCCCAGGGGGCATGATGAAGCTCTGCGAGTGCGAACGGTGGTTGGGAGGATGGTAGAACCCGCCATCACGCGAACCAGTGCGAGGGGAGGAAGGCAGGTTGGACATGGTGCCCTGAGGCGTAAGGAGATGCGGGGACGACGTGTCGTGGACCATGGACGACATGGAGGGCGAATGAGGGCTAGCGACAAGAGCGGGGCTCACCGAACCGGACTGGGGCGAATGCGACTGCCGCGCGCTGCTGCGGCGGTAGTGTAGCCAAGTATCGGAAGGTGGACCTTCACGGGGTGCGTATGGGTTTGAAAGAGGCTGGGAGGATGACGAAGGAGAGTTGCCGGCCTGCAGGCGCATAGGGGGCGGGGGCATCGAGCTGTATCGCCCCGCGGCGGCTCCCGAGCTGCCTGGCGGGGACATGACGACGTCGGTGTCACTACGCAGATTGGTATTGATGTACGGCATGGGCATCTGGTTGGCTGCGCCGGCTGGCCCTCCGCTGGATCCCATCTGTGCTGTGCCTGCAGGAGGGCCGTACGCGGTGCCAGAACCCATATCGCCGCCTGCCATTCCGCTCTCGACGTCGTCGGAAGGGTATGAGAAAGGGTCCTTTCGGCGAGCAGTTGAGAGGGAAGCACTGCGCGCAAGCGATCCTAGCGCGCCCCCACTTGCTCCACCGGCGCCACTCCCCCCAGATGCGTGATCGCCGCCGCCGCCGCCGCCGCTGCCGCCGTACGAGCCGCCGTAAGATGGGAACTGCATTGATTGGCGCTGGGAGCCAGCAGCGGAACCGTTGGCGGTTGCGGGTGTGGACGAGTACTGTTGTCCGGTCGAGTAGGGTGTGCCGGATGCGCGGGAGGGAGTGAGGTGAGTGTGCACCGAGTGACGCTGTTGGGCGGCGTTGGCGTGCTGCGCGGGTCCTGACGAAGGTGGAGGGGGATGCAGCGCGTTTGATCTCGGAGAACGCGGCGGGGGAGCGTTTGGGTTGAGAGGAGGCGCCTGGTATTGAGTGGGCTGGTAGAGAGAGGACTGCTGGGCTGGCTGTTGGTAAAGGGGGAGGGCAAAGTCGTCCTCGGCAGTGTGAGATGACGCTGCGTGGTACGACGACGGCCGCGACATGACCTAGCAAACGTGCAGTGCCAAAGAGGAGGCCGGCTCAAATGGGGTGTTTGAGCAGGTGGAGGGCGGTGTGGGGGGTATCCCGCGGGTGTGACGACCAAGAGCGGGCGTCCAGTCGCAGACGCAGACGCAGTCGCGGTCACAGTCGCAGACGCAGAAGTAGATGTTGCAGCGGCACAGGCGCAAGGTGTGTGACTGTGAATGTGCGGGGTAGTATAGCCCTGGAGCGATGCTCCGTCGGCAGGTGTAGTGGGGGGAAGCCGTTGCAGCGGACGCAGCTGTGCGAGGCGCGGGAATAACGGGGGAGGGGGGGGGGATGAGATGGGCACGTAAACGTGATGCGAGGCGCAGCGAGACGCTACAGGACGACGAGGCGATGGGCGACGAGCGACGAGCGATGAGCGACGAAGGCGTGGTGAAATGTGAGGATGCACGAGCGAAGTGCGAGCGTGGCCGAGGGATGAATGGGCCAGGTGACAGCAGGGAGGTGGAGGGAGGTGGGAGGGGAAAGGGAGGGAATGGGATGTGGGGAGTAAGATATGTGGCTCTCTCGAAACGAGATTAGCAAACAGATGCTGACTCTTGCGTTGTCCAGAGTCTCGCGTTGATCGCGGTGTGCGTCGCGCCGGGAGATGCGCAGGGGATGAGAGAGAGAGAGAGTTGGATAGGCGAGGAGTGTTTGTCGCTGAAGCTAAGGATGAGCGGAAGCGGACTCGGTAATGAGTGCGGGAGTGGTTGGGGGAGGGGAAGGG